CCCAGAAGTCCACCAGTGAGAGCCTGGTGAAAAAGAATTTTGAACCCAGGAATGTGTGTCAGAAGTAAAGAGCATTCTTACTTGTTTCATGCAAACATCCATCTGGCCTTTCTTCTTCCTGGCAATGCAATTTATTCTCTGTATTCTCTGCAGTGGCCCCCAGACTTTGGAACTGCCCTGGGGTCATACGGATGGTGCTAACCTTGCTTTCCTTCATACACCAGGTAAAAACTTTTCTGTTCTGACAAGCATTTGGTTAATTTAATTTGTATCTCACTGTTGATTTATTTATGTAAGTGTTTGTTTTTTAATTATTTGGCTGCAATTGGTCTGTGTTTGAGGTATGATTCTGTATTATCTTTTATCACTTGTATATTATTTTATGGATTGAACTTTTATATGCTGGCTTAGCATTTTGTAAGCTGCCCAGAGAATCCTTGGATTATGGAGTGGCATAGAAATAAAATAAAATAATAAATATTAATAAATTTAGGGTGGGCAGGGAGACTCCTATTGTTAAACAACTGGGAATCAGAAATTCTACTGTAAATCACCCAGACCCCCAGCAGTAGATTCAATCCACCTCCTGCCCAGCCATGATTGGTACCTAACCTTTTAGTCCAATTTAGCTTTTCAGGCAGCTTAGTTGACTATGTCTGTATTCCTACAATTTAGCTCTGTGAAGAGGGACAAAGTGCCATATTAGTTCAAGTTGTAACAAGTACCCTCGTGTCTCCTGAGCCCAAGATATGATTACATACCTTGGTGTTCCCAAGGGGGTGCTAAAGATGGATGCCTTCTACAGTAAGTGAACTCCGTTGGCTCAGAGAATCATCAGTCAATTTGACAGTTCAAAGTTAGGAAGCTTAGAAATAACACCAACTTTGCAAGGTTTTATCAAAGCTTCTGCCAAATGAATGTTACTGTAAATGGTGTTTGACAATGATGTGCATGTTCCAACAAGATTTTATCAAATAAAATTCAGACACCAGAGTCTTTTGAATTTGAGCTGAAAACTACTGAAGCTGGAGGCATTCATTGTATCAGAGTGGTTTCTGACTTAAACAATTCAGGTATGAAACCTATCAAAAAGTTGTAAAGATAGCAAAGGGGTATGAGTGAGTCTGGAGGGAGATCTAAGAGCTCTCTAAATAATACTGTAAATTATAAGTGTTCTGTTGTCTCTCCCATCATAAATAAGGTCTGTATGTCATAATAAACCCCCATCCCTGTCCCAGGAGCTTTCACATAAAAAGCCAAAAACCAAAATCAAAAGAAGTGGAAAGAAAATATTAATAACAAAGGACATACAATACTGCTTCAGTACTTTGGATCTCTCCACAGCTCAAATCACTGCAGAGCCAGAGCCTGGCAAACAGATGCATGCACTCTGTGGCTCTTAAAGGGCCCCACAGTGCCACAAATGGCAATAGCTAAGTATTTTGTGGACAGAGTCCCAAAGGCCAGATGGAGGAGTTTACAAGAGCAGGAGGAGGTTAAGTATTGCTTTGGAACTTCAGTGCTACTTAGACGGTAGAGTACCAGCTGATCTGCTGACTGCTCCTCTGCAAAAGAACAAAAAAGTCTCACTTGACTTGCTCCATATTTGTTATTCTTGGGGATTGGCACACTATTAGGTTGACTTGGCTCCATTGTTGCTATCACTGTAGCATTAAGAGAGGCGTAGCCATGTGAAATCATTCTTGTTGCTACTATGGCTGCTGCTAAGAGCAGTGGTACAGAGGGACAAAAGCTTCCCTCTCATGATTGCTCATGAAAGAGGCTTAGTCATGTCAGACTGCTGCTATTGCTACTACTAGGAGTAGTGGAACGGGCAGAGAAAACATCCTTCTCCACTGGCCTTGTTCATGATTGGTCACACTGAATGGTTTGAATACAGAGAAACAGTAGAAAGAACCGTGGCTGGATGGGTTATCCCAGTAACGGTGTTGCGTCTTTGCTCTTACCATAAGAGCAGGAAGGTAGAACCTGACTTAAGTGGAACAGTGAGCACTACAGCCTCCTCACTCTGCCTGGGTCCACACATCATGCAAGCAATCCTGTGTGGTTTCCACCGGGCATGTTTTTTGCACGGATGTGCCTGCAAGGTGATTGGGCTCATCATGGTAACTCTCCTCCCATCCACAATTTCCTTCCCTCTCGGTCCTCCAGGCAGTGTCCCAGGAAGCTCTGCTGGGAGGAATGGTGCTCCTTGCCTTGAGAGCAATGATTCCGAGCCGGGTTCGACTCGCCATGGCCCTCAAGCAGTCTCAGCTGTGCAAACGAGGCTCATGCTCTGAAGTGCGGCAGAGAGGACAAGGAGCTGGTCAGGGAGCTCCTGCTCCATAGGAGGCCACTCAAGCAGGACCGGGGGGGGGGGGGCAAAAGGGGGGGCAGAAATCTGATGGGCAGTGCTGCAGAAAGATGTGCCCAGTTTGGCAACCTCCATGAGTGCCTGAGCGAAGCTCCTCCTGTGTGTGGGCAGCAGAGGCAAGAACCAGCAGGGTGGTGGCAGCCCTGGTGGCCGCTGGTTGGGGTCATGTGCTGCAGCAGGTTCCTTCATGCAGTCCCTCTCACTCGGCAAAGGCAGGTTCCTCCTGAACTGGCGGCAGGGGTGAGACTCTGCTGGACAGCACTGTAGAAAGGGACAGCGCCTCCCAATTGCTTCCCTTCTGTGCCTTCTGCCTGCACCAGAGCGGAGCTCCTTGTGCCTGTAAGCCAGTGGCAGGGGCAAGGAGGCAAGAAAAGGGGGCAGCAGGGGAATCTGCTTCTTGCCAAAGTGAGAAAGAGGGTGATGGCAGTGAGTTCTGCTGTAATGCGCAGCCTCCAAACGAGGGCATCCATCCAGCAGCTCACGAGGAGTGGTGGCACATGGACATCCACTGCAGTGCATAGCTCCCAACTCTTGCTGCCTCCCGCTACTCCTCTGGTTCCCTCTGGTGAGTGAGGGGTAGAGGCACGCAGTCCCCAGCTAGGCACTGCGGCTTAGCAGGCTCCTGCTGCTCCCACCTGAGCCAACTGAGCAATGCTGGTCTTCTCCCAGTGCTGACCAGTGGTTTGCCTTCTCCTGCCCCAAAGAAGAGCTTAAGAGCAGAAGGTGGGAGCTACAGGGATGCGAATTTCAGCTGTCAGTGGCATTCTCTGCTTAGCCTTTGGGCAATGGACCCCTCCTTTAAAGTGGCTGTATGGGTCTGGTCCCGGCCAATTTGGGCATCACAGCAAGCAATTTTGGTACCAAGAAACAATACAGCAGACAGTTGCTTCTGTTCTTGGTTGCTCAGAACCAAATGTACCATGCTGGAATACCACAACGGGGACTGGACAACACAACAGATCCCCTGGCATAAAAAACACTCAACATTTTCCTGTCTTGTTGTGTGAACCTGCCCCTTCACTCTCTCTTTCTCATAACACCCCCCTCCCACATTAGGTATCTTACAGAAATAACAGTTCCCAGTGATGTGTGAGGAGTCCAGAGAAGCAGTACTAATGGAACTCAGAGAAACTGCCTAAGTGGCCATCTTGGTTCCTGGACCATTTTGTCAACCCGGACTAATTTTTTAAACTTAACGTAGGCTATGTGGAAAGTCACCATTGAACAACTACAGTGATGCCATAATCATCCAATTATTTCTTAAAAAGAGTGTTGTTAAGAAGACACATGGAAACAAAGAAGTTAATCATGACTCACTTGTGGCACAACACTTTCAACAGGACTTAGTCATGACCAAGGCCAGCTTTTATACGATGACATTATTGGAAACATTGTTGGCTGATCCAAAACCATTGTTTCCCTATGAAAGTGACATGGGTATTAGTGTCAGTGATGCCCTGATTATAGGTCTATGTTTGGGAGTCCCTCCCCCTTTTGGCCATGTTGGCAAATTGTGGAAATAGCCTATATTAGGGTTGATTCAGTCTGTGTGCACATATTCTTTGAAAGAAACCCAGGGAGCATCTTCCTTCTTAGCTGTGTGGCTGCAATACAAGAGCCCTAGTTGCAAACTGTAGTGGAAGACCTCTAAATGCATAAACATGAGCTCATGAGTAGAGCAGCCTTGTTCAGTTTGCAACATTTTTAAGTCTGCATGGTTGCACATATTGAATGTCTACCCTAAGTAAAAACTCTCTTTAAAACAAGTCAGAGATTGTGCAAACGTGATGGTGGTGGGAATATGTTCACTTGGGATGCTGCAGATTGTTGTCTGTTCCTCAGGAAGGCATATCTCCACAGTAAAACAGTCACAACATGGTTGCCATTTCTCATACAAAATGAACAACTGCAGGAAGGATTTGGATTGTGCTGTTTTTTTTACATCTATATATTTTTGTGTGCTGTCATTTTATGTTGAAGTTCTTACCAGTCCTTTTAAGCTTATTTACCCCAAATTTTCATTCTTCCACCACCTACGTATCTTTCTTTTCTCTGAGCCCTTCCAGATGTGAGGGATATCAGTCTACATTATAAAATTGTCATTTGGTTCTTTGTTATCTATGTACATAAATCTCTCATTGAGAACCTTGTTCAATTCTTTGTAAGAAATGTAGCCTAGATTTATAGTCCCAATATTTCATCTTTTCCTGCCCCTTTGATACTAGAGTAAACTAAAAATGCAGGCAGTGATTCAATATACAGGGAAGTGTGTAAATGGTTAATGCTGTGGTTAATATACATCAGTAGCATTTAAGCACAAGGCTGTAACTTCAATATTTTTCTTAAAAAATCAGCAAGTCATGTAGCATGGTAAGAACATGTTCAGAGCTGAAATGATCGTATCTGAAAGGCAGGTATAATTTGCAAGAGTAAGAAAGTTTATTGCAATTGAAGCAGTAAACAGAAAGCAGTTTTCAGTACTTGTAAAGGATTATACCTCCATAAAAGTAGAAGAAAGCATTTTTTTTCTCTAGTTTTCTTATTGGTAAGAAGCTGTTACATTAAAATTGGTTCTGGTTCCAGGAGGCATTTTGCTACTTGGGTTCTCTGTTGCTTTCCATGCAGCTTACTTCGCAGCTCTTTCTTCAATTGACTTCACTTGAGAAGAGACCACTCTGCCATCCACCATTTCTTCCACAATGGTCTTCACCACCCTGGTTTTGGTGGGTTCTGATGGCAAGACAAAAATACGACAGTGTTATCCTTTCATAATATCAATATTAAGCAAAGTGGATCCATGTAAGCTGTTTTCCCACCATAACATTATATATCATAGAAAACTGCTGGTTTTGAGTTGGAGAAGGGCCAGACGTTCATAGGAACTGCAGGGGTACACTGATTTGACTAGTTTTAAAAATCACGTTTCTCAAAATTCAGGATGGCTTGTGTGTGCGGATCCTTCTAAGAAGTGATCCTATGCATATTTAGGGAAGGATGCTGAGAATTGTAGAACTACTTTCTCTCTAAGCTTGCATAGGACTTAGCTCTTAGTAAGTTTTCTCCTACTTTGTATGTATGCAATATCATCCAGAACGACTGGACTGCAGACAGATATCTTATAAGGAACAGGACAATGGTCATATGAATATGCAATTGGTATTCTGTTAATGGCTTCATATTTTAGACGTGTTGGTTCCCAAGACATGGAATAGCAGAAGATGGATCAAGGCAATATTCTTGTTTAGACTAATGTTTGGCATTTGGTGCGTCAGATAAACTTTTGCTACTAAATGTGATAATTAGGGTAATATTTTCCCTGGCTTTTCCCTTTCATCAATTCATTACTTTTAGAATTCTGTGTTTTGCATAATGATTATTCTTAATGATTATATTTGGAATAATATATTTAATTTTCTATCAGTTCAATAGGATAGCACAATTGAATGCAAATTACTAAAGAAATATAATCTAATAAAGCTGTCATTAAAAATATTTGTTGCTTTCTACTTTTTAATTTCCAAATCTATTTTGCAACACTGCAACACTTATCAAACTAGCCTATTAATTTCTTTTTTAATTTTTATTGAAACATGTGCTAGCAATGAGTGACAATTGATTTTAGTAGTTCTTAAGGTAATCTTTTCTAATAATATGATGGCAGTACTCACTGTTTTCTACTACTGTTCTGTTAATACTAACTCTTTTCTAGCAATAGTCCAATCTAGAAAATTATTCTTAAACAGAAGCAAAACTGGCTTGGCAACTGGATTGCCAATAAATGCAGCTAATATAATTATACTTACCTTTGATATGAACTTTTGTGTCATATGATGAGCGGAAGCTGTGAAAAAGGATCACAACAGTGTTAATCTGTAAATGGTGCTTCCAGAAATTATTTTAAAAAACAAAGGGGAATGGTTGCAAGAGAAGTAAAGGGCATCGTAAAAGGAGAGAAACCATACTATTTCTGTGGCATGCGGCTCATATTTTTGATGGAAACCTCATTGTTGTAAATAAGCTGAATAATGAAAAGTTCTGAAAAGTCACTACTAGAATACTTTTTGATTTAGAACCCATCACTTGTGGATGTTGTTGATGTGATCTAGACAACTGGAGAGAACACAATTTACATTCCAATGGGAATCTTTTTAATGTGGTCATTCTGCAGTTATCCTTATAGCTATCTTGGTTTTATAGAAACTAGGTGATATCATTATGTGGGGCAATTACTGCCGAAAGCACTAGAAGTTTTTGAGTCACACAGAAGTCTTCCATGTACATGCAAAATACAGTCAATGTTAAATGTTAGTTTCTAGACTTTTAAAATTCTAGAACTGGCTCAAAATAAAAGGTATTACTAATTGTCTTTATGGAACTTTCTGGTTATGCAGTACATGTAAATCTGTTTGGTCTCTTTTAATTGTTGGGGAACTATAGCTCTGTGAATGGTAAATAATGATGAAAGTAATTTGAGTGTCTAAACAATTAGGCAGTACACATATTGTAACTAAACAAGATACCTGCTAGCATTTTGTCAAGTATAAACAATGCTTAAAAGAAGCAAACTGCATACAAATTATAAAATGAAAAGTGTAACAAAACGAAAACAGTGTTACAATATAATCCTATGTGTGTTTACTCAGAAGTAAATGCCACTGTGCCCAATGAGGCTTGCTCCATAGTACATAAGGTTAGTGTTGCTGTATCACATGTACTGTTATTGTTAGGGCAGTTTCACCAAGCACATAAAACTAATTTTTTCAACCCTCAGAATAAAGCCCTATTAGATCGGGGCTTTATTCTGAGGGTGTCTGGTCTACCATTCAGACCAGACACCTGTCTTGGTCTAGGCATCAAACTCCCGGCTGCTGATATGAAGCATGGAGGGAAGGATACCATGGCATTCATGGGTTAGTTCTTTGGGTTTTCCTCCTTCTGGGGGAAGCAATGTCTTCCAACAGAAGGAATCCTCCCATTAGAAGAAGGGAACCTCTTCATCCAATTCCCTGTAGCTACTGACTTGGCTTCCAACCTATGAAGAGCCTTGCTGGATCAGAAAAAGCTTTTTTGCTGTAATATCTTCTCTCTGCACAGTGGCCATTGAAATTCCTATGGGAAGCTATCTAAGTTAGTGGCTGTCAGCACATCCTATGATGACAACTTCTGAAATTATAACTATGCACCAAAAAAGTACTTTCATCTGTCTGTCCTGAATCTCCCACTGGATGACTTGTGGACAATGAGCACTGCTACTGTTCTTAACCTTTAGACCGTCTACTGACCTTTCTCCATCCAGCAGGCGCCGGTATGTTTCAATCTCCATCTCCAGTCTGGTCTTGATGCCCAGTAGCTGTTGGTACTCCAAATTCTGGGCCTCTGTTTCAGACCTGATCTGCTGTAGCTGTTCTTCCAGGCCACTCACTTGCAGCTGTAACTGTGAAAGCTGAGAGCTGTAGTTCTCCTCCGTTTCTGCCAAGGTGCCTTCTAGCGAGGCTTTCTATTAGGAGAGGAAGAATCAGGGGGAGGCTCATTAATGCGAGTGCTTGATTTGCGATGTTTCAGTGTTATCATCATCATTACTGCATTGCATTATTTATTAATCTATTTCAAAGGTTGTTCATTTCTCCTTTAAAAGCCAGGGTCAATATGTCTATTTTGTGTATTCTTGCATATTGCGATACATATGCAGAATTTTGTTTCTTTGGAGAATTTTGCAGTTTGGCATCTGAAAAACCCTGTATAAAACAAGAAATAATCAATATAATTCCTATAAATATGAATTTATGGCCTTGTAAATAAGCTCACAAAAGCTACTGGCCAGCAACGAAAAACTTAGTAGTCTGCTAAGAGGCTAGTAGCCTGTGTTCCCAACTTGGCCACGAAGGTGGGAAATCTCCTTCTCCTCAAGCAGCAGGGAAAGCCGAGATGCTAACCTCTTGGCCGGAAGGGAGTTGCAACCTCTGCTAATGGGCATTCAGAGAGTGGAGGTCTCTTTGTGGAAGGGAGATGCATCCTGCTATGTTTCCATGCTGCGCATGGAGGCAGGAAACCCTCTTCTCTGTAGCCAGTGTGGAAGTACATGCACCTAGACTTTAGGTAGTCCAATCTTTCAAATGGAAGAGGCCTACAAATGGAAGAAGTCTGTGTCCTCTGACAGCCTTTCACATACAGAACTGTTTTCTGTAAAGGAAGACACATCCATCGCCTCTTAAATTAGGTTCTGGGATTCTTAGATTTCGGGACCTGCAATGATGTTGCCTTGGGGTTAGTATTGTCTGCACATGCAAGTACAGGCCCATAAATTTTCCTTCACTTCAGAGTTAGTAAACATATTTGTCTCAAAACACATTGATCTCAACTTCCTTTGTAAAAGGAGCGTGCCCTGCAGATGCTGCTTCTCCTGCCGTTCAAGGAGGGGGAAGCAAGCTACAAACCTTGGCCAGAAGGGACTGGAGCTCAATTTCCAATGACTGGAAGGAGCGTTTCAGCTCTATTAACTCGTTCCTTGCTGAGTTTGCGGCACCGGCATCATCATAGATCTGCTGCTGCAGTGGTTGGCTCTGGAGGAAAAAATAACAATCCAAAATATCTATTTTTGTTTTCTTTTAAAGTGTGGTTTTGTCATGTAGCTATCAGATAACAGACTCATTTTGTCCAGTGTCATGGATTATTACTATGAAAGAGTGACACTATAATCTTTTTACTATAATCTAAAAATATCCTATAAAAGATAAATGTACAGTTGATAAGATTGAATAAGCTATCTTGATACTCTGGACCCAGTTTAACATATGTACCAGCTCTCCATTTATGAGGTTCATCAGCTTTTAAGATTCCAAAATATGCATACTCTGTTCCTTGATTTATATATTAAAGACATAAAAGCAACCCAGATCTGTTGTATGGTCTTTTCTGCACTGATATTGAATTAGTTAGCAAAAAGGTTCCAGAAGCACCATTTGAAACTTTACAGTACCTTCCAAAGTAAGTCCCATTCAATTCAGTGGGGCATGATCCCAGGCAAATATGTATGATTGCAACTTCAGTGGTGAAAACCCTGCAAAGGTTGTCCACTGGCCACTATTAAAGGAATCATAACATTATTGTGCCATTTAGGCATAAGTCTATGCCATTTAGGTTTGGTGTCCATTTTTTGTTTATCATCTTCAATTTCGCAGAACAGCAGCAGGCATTACAAGTGAAATACGTTATACAGAATCAGGGTTCAGCAGTCATCCATTTTACCATTTTGTTGAATTGTTCTTCAGCCTCTCTGCGATTCTGTTCTGCGAGATCTTCATATTGTGCTCTCATTTCATTCAGTAGCTTCGTCAAGTCCACCCCTGGAGCAGCATTCATTTCCACAGTGACATCACCTGTGGAGCTACTTCTCAGTAAGGCAATTTCCTGTGTGAGGATATTGGATGCAAGTTACTTGAGCTGCAGAATCAATCTTAAGTCCAGAAACAGTGGCCTTGAACTCCTTACCCTCGGAGCCTTCCCCAACCTCCAGATGTTTTGGCATCCAGCTCCCAACATTTCTGACAGCTGGTCATCTTGGCTGGGGCTGATGGAAAGGGCAAAACATCTAGGCAGGTAGGGATGTTCTGGAAGGACATCTGCTGAATTTCATGATAAAACTCATATATAATTGCTTTAACAAATGTTATCTCAAGGAACAGCTAAACGTTACTGAACAGGCTTCCATATTCATTGTTTCTCTGAGTCAGGCAGTTGGATAGAGTCTTAGTCATATTTAAAATCCCTTTTAGTTAGGGATTTGTTAGCCATGCATCCCTTGATTTCAGTGGGTCTCCTTGAAGTATTGCTAAACCTGCATCCAATCTAGTGTATGCAAGGATATCTTTGGTACACATGAAATGATTATCACTGCTTTTGTACATAAAGTATCGTTCTAAAATAACAATATGAAATAGTACTACTACTACGTCTGTTGGGATCCCAAAGGTAGTATAGAACTGTTTTAGAAAGCACTCTTCTCCTAAGTATCAAAGTAATTCCTGGAGTGGTTCTTAAATGAAAGGATCACAAGCCTTTACATATTTCTTTGTATGTAGTTAATCCAGACATGAACATAGCTCTGGTTTTCATTTTGGTGGCAAAAAACTCTACAATACCTTCCCAGCCCAAACAGACAGAATTACATAGATTAGAAGAGTGTAAACTATGCATGAAACCAGTTTATGACACAATCCAAACTCCTTAATTTAGATAGACATTTATCTATTTACATTTTGTTGAGAATCTTTAATAAGGAGGAATTTTTCCTGCTATGCTCAGATTGTGCTTCCCCCTTTATGGTAAAACAAATGTGGTCAAGGACTGAAGGTGAACTGTACAGGAAACATATTGTGTTTTCTATGCAAGTATGGAACCATAACCTGATACTGGAAATATAAGCAAACCTAATGGTTTGTTGCTAGTGTCCTATGCCCATCTTTGCTACTTTCCTGTGTGAGTTGAACATGTTTGCAACTTTTATACCATGTCACTTTGTATAAAAGCTGCATGCTTTTCGTTTCCACTTTTAATGGGTTGTTTCTCGAAATAGGAAGCTATGGGTTTTTTATGGGTTAAACAATCCCAGAGATAACCGAACAATTCTACAATTCTCTTTTTTTCAGAGGGGTGTTTTATGGGTTATTTAACTCTTGACAGAATGCAGCAATTGAGTTCATTATTTCCAGTTTTAATCAACCCAAGAAAGGAGCAGGGGTATTTTAATCAACAACTCAGAATTATGGTTTAAATTGAAAACAGTAGACATCCAACTTTCATGCTTTGAAATTCCCAGAAATTTCCAGGTTAAATTACCCAGACATTAGCACTGCATTATGTGAACTTAGCATGGTGTTATGTGGACTTCAAAAATTGAATGTATGGACCTTGTGGAATTAAAAACAAACAAACTAACTAAAAATGACTCTAGTAAGCTTCATGGCTTATCTAGGATTTGAACTTGAGACTCCCAATGTCCAACCCAAACATTCTATCTGCTGCATTGTACAGAACATTTATCCTGTATCCTAGAGACTCACACTACCATAGTTCAGTGTGATGAGGGTGAGTTTCAGCAAGCCTCCAGCTTGCAGGCACTTCCCTCCTCTCCTGGCCTCCAGAATGGCTGCAAGATGGAGCTTGGAAGCTTTTGCTTCTGTTTCACTTAGCCATAGCTTGTCATGTCATTTGAACTGAAAAAATGGTGGTTAATGTTAACGTGAAATGGTGGTTTGGGCAAAGTGTAGTTAAAGAGAAGTAAAAGCTAAATGGATCCTAGAATTCTCCATGCAGCTGCTCCGGGGGAAGAGAAGGTAGGGGGATTATGCGAGCCCAAGGCCCTTCATTCTTAGCATTCCAAACTACGAACACAGCCTTATTATTGTCTCTGACTGGATTATTTTCAGTGGGGGAAATAATATCTCCAAAGCAGAAAAGCTGAATTTCTTTACCTCCTCATGATTCTTCTTGAGGTATGCCAGTTCCTCTGTGAGGCTTTCAAGCTGTGACTCCAGGTCAGAACGGTTCATGGTCAGGTCATCGAGTACTCTACGGAGACCATTGATGTCTCCTTCAACACTCTGGCGAAGGAAGAGCTCATTTTCAAATCTGGAAGGGGAAGATATGAAAGAGAAATAAAAAATGGCTCATGTATGTTCATGGTCAACACTGGTAATCATGTTACAAATGTCAAGGATTAGCTTGGCTCCTAAAATAAGCTAAGCTAAGGGAAGACAGAGAAAGACTCCCTCCAGGCCATTTCCACCTGCTTGGAGCATCCCTATGTGTCAAGTGGCCTCCTAACCACTTGGATGGGCTGCCAGGTGCTGCTGTGCAGAGGAGGAGGAAACATAGAAACAGAGCGAGTCAGAAGGGGTCTCCCGGGAACATCTAGTCTGACCTCCGGCACCAGCTGGCTCCGCTCACGACATGCCCACCATGTGCAGGAGGAGGAGGAGGAGGAGACAGTAAATCTTCCTTTCATGAACGTCCTTAAGGAAACTTCTCTTCGTATCCAAAAATTATTTGGAATGATTTTTTTCTCTTCTGAAACCTGATACCGGCATTGCTCAAAAGGATCCCAACATCACCATCAAGCCCGGGGAGAGAAAACTAACAAGAACCCAATATGAATCGGCTATGAAATGCTTAGAATGACCATGGTGCGGGGGGGGGGGGGGATGAGAAAACTGTGTGCATGTGGTGGGGGCAAGAATGGACTGGAGCATCTTGGGGAAAAATAGGTCTGCTGGGCTGTAACTCTCAACAGCCGCTCTCTGCATGGCAAGATTTTGTCGCTGCTCCTGTTTTCTTTCTGAATTCTTCATCGTCCAATTTTTCAAGAAAAAGCTGGATTTGCACCTGTGAATAACAGTGTGCCTTTCAGTGGACTGGACTAAATACTCTGCCGAGATGCTTCCTGACTCAGAAATAATTGCGGCAGATCATCACCATGCACCTTTGGTTGGATTGTTAGACTTTAGAGATGAAACTTCAAAATCTGGCTCATTTTTGGTGTGCATTCCACTTTCAAAGGATGGTTCTGTTTCACTGAATCTTGGCAAAAACAAATAAATATTCGAGAGGGTATGCACAAACCAAATACCGGGCAATTATGTGATCTTCTTGTATCTGGCATAAAAGGAGGCCAAGGAAGCTCTACTTAGTTCTCTGTATGACCTGTTTTGCCCACTTTGATGGCTGCTCAAAGTTGGATCCAGATTTCATCATATCTTATGTGCAGAAAGGTCCTTGAAATAGTGTAGAAGCAGGGTTTAGATTTCACACAGGCATCCCTGTTCTTCAGCTTAATGACCTCGTGTTGCTGGATGTAGCAGGAATGAGGCGAGACGCTCACAAGCCGTAGGCTGCCAACATTTGAAAAGCAAAAGATCTGCATTTAGCTTACTTCAGTCGGAAGTCATCGGCAGCAAGCCTGGCATTGTCGATCTGCAAGACCACGTTGGCATTGTCAACGGTCACATGCAGTATCTGAAATGGGAGAAGTGAAAAAGAATAAGGTGGGGTTTATGACACATTTCTGTTTCCGGATCAGGATTGGATCAGGATTGTTAGTAAATGGATCAGGATTTTTAGTAGGGGAACATCAGAAGATAATCGAGATTAATGCCTTCTCACCTCCCTGCAAAAAAATTCATGGCTGTATACTGCCCAATAGATAAAGCTTTCTGGGAGTTTCACAACAAAATAAAAATTGGGATCCAGTATAGTTTTGAAAACTTTGCTGACCCTAAAATGTGTTGAATATGACAAATAAATATAGGCAATCTGGTTTTTACAGCAATTTTTCTACTCAAATGCTTGTCTTTCAACTAATGCCCAATCTGATCTGTATCCATGGTGAGAAGAGATTTAATTCATCTTAAATTCAAGTGCTTCTGTTTGATGTGGCCCTTGTCACTAACAGAAATAAGCATCAACAATTTTGCATGTTAACTTGGAAGAAACAGGAATCATTAGCATTTTTAATTACTGGGCAATCCAGTTTTATGAAGCAGATCAGTTTGAACTGAAAGTAGAATTACATTGACTTTGTACTTCAGCTGCAGTTTTGGGCTGCTCATGCGAGGAAAGAGAAATTATCCAAGTTTGATTTCTCTCCCTGATCACATTGGACACTTTTGCAACTGTCACCTGACTACATTGAATTTTTGATACAGATGAGCATTTCCCACCATGGTGCCCTCCAGATGCTTTGGTCCAAAACTCCCAGTATTGCTAGCTGGGGCAGATGGGAACTGAAGCCTAAAGTATCTAGCCAGACGTCAGGAATAACCGCTATAGACATGAATGGTCATGAGGGCTCTGGGGGAGATAAGAGTGATGAACTAGGTTGAGCCAGTTCCTTTGACTGGCCCGCTTTATGCATGTATTCTAATACAAGCAAAGGGGCAACTTCACAAGGCTCACTGAAATGAATGGAAGCTGTAAATGAGCATGTCATTCTGCAGATGTCTGTTTCTTGCAGTGAGACTTTCCCCAGGAGAAGGTCCTCTCCAAAAACTACACAATGTTTCAGAACATCTCATTTTCTCACCTGGTTGCGAAGATCATCAATTATCTGGTGATATTTAGAGTAATCACGGATAACTCCTGGAGCTCCAGGTCCATTTTTCTCATACCAGTAACGAATTTTACGCTCAAGTTCAGCATTGGCCTCCTCCAGAGAACGCACTTTGTCCAAGTAGTTTGCTAGACGGTTGTTAAGGTTCTGCATGGTTTCCTTTTCAGCACCGGCCAAAAAGACACTGTCAGCCACTCCTAAGCCACCTCCCAAGGCGATGGCTGAGCTGGAGCGATAGCTGGCCCCATAACCTCCACCTGCCATGGAAGCACTAGTGAAGCCAGCCCCACCACCAAAGCCAGCTCCACCACCAAAGCCAGCCCCACCACCAAAACCAGCCCCACCACCAAAGCCGCCGCAGACACCCCCTCCATAGCCACTGCCTATCCCCACTAGGGATCCTCCACCGAAGCCATGCAGACTGCCGCTTGACAGTCTGAGACCCCCATCACCCCCAGCGCGGGAAGAAATCCTCCGGGATGCAGTTGAAATCCGAAGAGACATTGTAGTCAAGGGCTGTGTTTGCTAAAAGGCAGCAGGCAGAGTAAGAGCACGGAGAGAATCGCCGGATAGGCAAATGGTATGCTGCCAGGTCACTCTCCCTTTTATATAGCATCATTAGGGTGTTGCTCTTGTAGTTCCTCCTACCTGTAGCAAAATATATTTTTTGTCTACTCAGCTGATCTAAGCTGTAATTGGTTTTCTCTCCCTCTCTTCCGCCCCCTGAAGTAAGTGTTTAATTCATTACCATGTCCATTTGCCATTTGATGCCCTAGGAGTGTTTGTTATGCGGAGGGCAGAGTAGGGTGGAACAAAGTTAAAAATTCATTACAATATTGTAATTGTAGATGAGTAATTCTTTTCTTCTTCTCCTAGACCCCAGGCGTAACACTCCTCATTCCCAAAGCAAATCTCCAAATGACTTTTTTGTGTGTTACCCTATAAGCTTGTCCGGGTACCATCACAATTTTGCTTCTTGAATGTTTGATCTGGTAAGAACAATGTTGCAGTAAGGCAGGTTTAGACTGTGGGATTCATGGTCTTACCCCCCCCCCCCACCAACCCACTTCAAAATACCACACGTGGAAAGGACCTAAGTATCTAAATGGATCAGAAGTGGAGTATCAGCCAGCAGTGTGATGCAGCTGCTAAGAAAGCTGATGTAGCGTTGGGCTGCAGTAACAGAACCATCCTGGAAGTAAGCATTCCATTCTATTCTGCATTAGTCATTATGCATTCGGAGAACTGTGTTTCCGGGTGCCCCATGTTAAGAGGGACAGGGACCAATGGAAGCATGTCTTGAGAAAAGTAGCTAGGCTGCTGAGGAATCTGGAAACTAAGTCCTGAGAATGGTGGTTGAGAGAGCTGGATATGTTTAGCTGAAAGAGAGATGATTAAAGGGTAGAACTGTTTAAATATCTGAAAGACTGTCGTGCAGACACAGCAGATAGTTCCTTGTTGCTTTTGAGGGCAGCACAAGAACCAGCTGGTACAAGTTTCAGGAAAGCAGATTTCAACTAAGAATTAGAAGAAACTTCCCAACTGTGCCAGCTGTTCAGCAGTGGAACAGACTGTTGTGGGAGTTTGTGGGTTCTCTTTTGTGGGGGGTATGTAAGCAGAGACCGGATGGCTGTCCGGCAGAGGTGCTGTAGCCGCATGCCACATGACCTGCACTGAGCAACAGGTTGCACTAGATGATCTCTTCCATTTAAAAAAAGTTGTTGATTTTTCAAATGCAATGGTACATTTCACAAAACAAGATAATGCTTGAGATAGTATTGAATTCATCTACTCATTTTATACTACCCAAATTAGGGATTAGATGACCTCTGAGCTCCCTGTTCAGTGAATCTACTCCAGGTATGGCTAATCCCCAACTTATATGGGACTTGCTTCCAAGTTCAGATGTTTAGAAGTGCAGGCTGAGGTGCTCTTTTTCAGAATTGCTCCAGCAATATTATTCCATGGGACAGGTGTATTCTGAAGATACCTAAACATTGTTCATTCTCTAGAAAGGACAGGAAAGCTTGAGAAATCTGGTGGTGTTTTCAGTGTTTGCTTTGATGGGAACAGTAATATCTAGGACAAGCACAGGATTGGTTGAAAAATGATAGGGAGCCAAATTGGTTTGTTTCAAATCAAGAGCATCCCTTACCTTGGAGAAGCTGCAACTGGAATTTACTGGAAGTTGCAACAGGATTTACATGCCCCTCCTCTGCTGATTGGTGAACTCTACACCCTGTACCCACTGTAAATTCAGTTGGAAACCAGATTATGTTCTTGCTTTAAAAATCCAGCATAACAGGTGAGCTGGCAACATTACAAAGACAGTGCAGAGTCAAATAAATTCCTGCTAGTGCCCCCAGAATGGAATAATTGGGTAGAGACTCCCCAGTTTTAGCAGTATTAACCTGTACTTAATTTTTTCAAGCAGGCAAGGTATAGCCACAGGTCTTTCTCTGCAGACAGCATCCCCTGTGAATGAACCTGGAGTAGCAGTAACCTCAATGGAATGGAATGTGCAGTTGCTACCAAATTGAAATAGCTGGAAACTAAGAGTATTTTAAAGTGATTTTTGAAGTGATCTTAATTTTTTTAAACCAGTTGTTACTTGTTAACTGCCTTGGGCATATTTTGAAGTGGAAAGTCATAAGAGAAGAGCTTTAAATAAACAAGGGCTGGATGCCAAAGTCATGTCCAAATAGCACACCTTTTCCAGGAGTAGAAGTGATACTTTAGACATGGGGGATAGTCCAGTGGTAGTTCTGGCTGGATCCACATAGCTGAGAGGGATCTATGGGAATGTTATGGGTTCTGCATTTCCCATACCTGGCATGCTAGGCTTCTGAACCCAGGGAGTGTTCACTGTGGCACAGAAATGGATGTGGAAAACCGCCATCTGGACAGCTCCCAAATAAATGCATTGGCCAAATTTGAACTACCTTGCTGCGTTGCAGGAGTGACGCTGGGCCAAGCAATCATGGATAACCACTTTTAATTCCAACCTATCATGAATGTTGCAATTGCTTGGGAGAATTCTGTAGACCTGAGGTGTTCTGGCAGGGATAAATTTGCACTATATTCCAAAACCACTATGGTCATGCAGTATATTTTCTCTGTAGAAGGCATACAAGACTTATTTCAAAGGTCCCATGGCACAATTTTAATTTAAAAAGTATTTAATCATGGTGTTTCAATCCAGATATCTCTGTGAAGCTACTTGAAAGCCCTCCTCCAGAATGTGCCCACTCTTTGAAGACTGCCTCTTACTGCTGTTTTAATGGCTGTTTTTATTTTATTTTATGATTTTTAATGGCTGCTTTTATTCTATTTTATGATGCTATTTTTATTATTTGGAGTTTTGTAAACCATGATGGAAACCTATAGGTGATGCAGAACTTTGATAAGTCAATAGATAAAAAATAGTCCACAATGAAGTTATCTTTTTAAAGTTAAGAGGGATCACATCCTTTTTTTCTGACACAGCCCAAGGAGGCAGTAAGTACAGTAGGAAAGTTGAGAGTAGTTGGATAAAATTATGCATTTCCTTTTCTTTCAAGATGTCCATAAAGCATCTTTGAAATACATCCACTTTGTCTTTGGGATGTACCCTTCTTTCTTTTGTCAGGGAGGTGGCCCTGTGGCAATCCATTAAAAGCAAGAATATTTTTCTAATATATAGAAACATAGAAACAGAGTGAGGCAGAAGGGATCTCCTGGTCATCTAGTCTGACCCCCGGCTCCAGCTGGCTCCGCTTACGACATGCCCACCAATGGCATGCCCAGCCTATCCTTGAACACCCTCACCGATGGGGCCTCAACCACCTCCCGTGGAACCCCTTCCATACCCTCAGGGTCAGGGTCCTAACTGTCAGTAAGTACTTCCTGGCATCTAAATTGAACCTTGGAAAAAATATGGAATGCTTCACGAAGTTGCATGTCATCCTTGCGCAGGGGCCATGCTGGTGCAGATAGAAACTTGATTTGATTTATTTTATTGCCCTCCCCAGGTTGGAGACAAACTGCACCAGGAAATCTCTATCTGTGCAGGAATGCTGTATGAATGAGGAACCTGGAAAAACCAGGTTAAACAAGTCAAATATATTAGGTTAATCGCATAGCATGTAGCTGGGAATAACCCTCTGTCCGCCTGCCTGGCTTCCTGTCTGAAAACCCTAGAGCAGGTGCTTGCAGATCTAATTTGGACTGGACAGCAGCCCATCAGCAGTGGAAAAGTCTCCCCTGCCTCAATTTTTTCTGGAATCTATTCCAGGGGCAGAGCGGGGTGGAGTCTCAGTTGTCGTTCATGGATCACTTTAGCTGGTGCCCTGTGTATATGGAGCCTTTTACATGAAAAAAAAAAAAAAAGCCTCTGCACTTGAGCTCTGGGGACTCCCTCTCACAATGAAGGCTGCAAAAAGTGCCTTCGGGAGAGCTATGCAAAGAGCAGCACTGGGATTATTTTTGGAAGGAAAACAGTGCAGGGAGGAAGAGGTGAGGCCCCCTTCTCCTTGTGCCAGAGTTCCCATCTAGATCACGGGGTGGAGGGGCATTCCGTTGTAAATATGTTAGTTTGACTTTTGCATCAAGCTGAAATTTTAAGCCTGCCACACTCTCTGGCTGAATTCAGTGCTCATGTTTCTGCTCTGATTAGCCTCTTGAAACAACTTGCCATCCTCGTTGTCGAGTTTCATGATAAGAACCATGTTCTCACTCAGCTGTTGGTGCTACAATACTGTTTCACCAGAGATTAAACCAGATGCTTGGGCAGATAGCCAATGCCGAACTCTCTCAAGTGGTTTCCAGTACTGTGAGAAAAAGCCTAAAGCCAGGGAGGGAGGAGAGCGTAGCAGTGTCTCTGTAGGGTCACAAAGGAGCAGTGTTGGCACACGAAAGCAGGCGCTTTTCTGAAACGACACACGCTTTCCTGACATCTCTAATATGACAAATTGTGCTTATAATTTGGCACCAAGATTAGGTGATCACAATAAATTATGCAACATTTTCTTATCTTCTACGAATGTGTTCAGTTCGCATGAATTATTCTTAGCTCAGTTGTGAATTTCATTTTTGTTTGTTTGCTTAAATTGCATTTTTTTAAAATTGTGAGTGTAAGAGCTGACTCATATATGGAATTTCGTCATTCTTTCTTTGGGACAATCTGAACTGGGAATGTGAGGTGGAAGTGGGGGTCTTTAAACCTTTGGCCCCATTGTCATGATCAAGACCTGCTACGCCAATAATCAGATGGTTGGCCACTATGACCTTTCCTATATGTGGCTGTTAATCGTGGCATCTACTTTCAGTTTTGTTGCAGAATTGAGATCCTAGCTGTGCACAAGGAGCTAGCCCTGTCCTGATTTTCTGCCACATAACCTTAAAGTGATGCTATGCTATAGCAGGATAGCGCGAATACACAAACTGGAAAGTACATTTTCTTTCACCATCAGAAATAATACCCCATTTTCCCTGGTCTAAAAAAAAACCCCAGGAAAGTGGTCTAAAAAAATGGAAGCAAAACTAGAGGATCACAATGTCATCTGAAGAAACAATAAGCAATCATGAATAAGGAGTCATGAGGGTACATAAATGGATTGTGCGAAAATGCTCTGTGTGAAGAGGATGCTGACCCAGAAAAACCTTGGTCCAGCTCAGTAGAGCTCTTGGGTGTGTATTTGTTGGTCAACAAGCTCCCAGTGGAGTGAGCTGGAGCTGTGTTTGCCATGCAAACAGCGGAGGTGTGAGGGCAGTGCAGTCAGGATCAGAATTACACAGTGGGGACAAAGGATTAATGGAGCGGACCTGGGTTTAAAAGCAAGAAGTCTGCTGCTGTCCTGTGTTTGGAGCTCCGCTTGGGCTGGGAAACAAGCAGGTCTGCAACCTACAAAATGAGAAAGTAGTGAACTTGTCTGGATGTTGGACTCCTGTCCCCATCAGCTCCAGCTACTAAGCCTAGTGGTTATGGATGTTGGGAATTGTAGTCCAACTTATGCTTTTTCCCACACATTCAGTTCAGATATAGAGAAGGATGTCTGCTTAAATGATCATCTGTTCCTACCTGGGGTTGAATGCAATACGAGCATGTTCCATTTCCAAGCCTCATGGACAAGGCATGGCTCCATGGAGCCAACCGATACATGTTAACATGCTCCACGGACAGATACATGCTAGTTTAGGGTGCCATATATTTCCTGTGGTGCTAAATAAGTGGGGGTCCCACTCTGGTTTGTTGACCTCAGGCGCCACAGAATCATGTGCCAAGAATTCCTTAATGGGGCCATTTTGAGAGAACATTTCATTTCTGCTTTTCACCCTGCCATGCTACAGTTGCACAGCAAATCTTGCAATGGTTGCTACTGAAACCATTAAAAACATGCATTTTGTTTTTAAACCAGCGACAAAATAGTTGCTTGAGTGATTATGTTTGAAAAAGATGAGGAAGAATGCATGGAGTCCTATCCATGTCTGCTCAGAAGCAAAACCCATTAAGTTTTGGGTTTTGCACCCAAAACTTTGCAAACTTTGCACCCATTAAGTGCAAGTTCAATTGCACTTAATCTCTGGCAGGTATGCACAAGATTGCAAAATAAATGCTGGTGAGATTGCATGGTTTCAGAGATGTCGCTTGCCTTCCCATTTTGTAATGATCATCTATTGCACAGATGTGAATTCCGTTCCAACATGGTCTAGAGTTGCTAAGCATACAATGGCCCTGCCATGGCTTTATCCTGTTCAAGAATGTTCTGTCTGCCTGCATCTGTTTCTCACTAAACCCGAGTGATCCGTCAGGGAGGGGACACCAGCTGACCACCTGGCACACTTGATTGCACACACAGTGACAAGGGACTGCCACCAGCGAGGGCATCCCCTCATCCAGTCCCTGCACTGAATCCCCGCAGATCATTACTCTTGGGGCTACACCTAGTAACAGAAGAAAAGGAATTAGTGGCTCTCAGATGGCATCCCTCAGATAACTCTTGCTGTTAGGCATGCGGAGCTGCTGTTCCCACAAGGAGAAATATGGAGAAATAACCTCTGTTCTGCTGAAATGAGCTCATCCTGTTCAAATCGTGTGCTTCCTTTTGCTTTGGGAAAATGTTGGAACTGAGTCAACAAGTGTTTGCTGTATGCAAATAGCAAAAAAGGTTTATTGAACTATTCCAGCTAAAAAGAACGTGTTCTGGGGGTTTGCTTAAAGAAAAGTGGGTACAAGTGAGGCATATCTACGGAAAAGAAATAACTTGAAGGTTTTTCCTTGCTTCGCTGCCAGGTATGAAAAAAAATATTCTTTGCAGTTTCCTGATGCTTATTTAGTTGGCTTCTCTTCAACTGATTTGATCTGGGATGAAACAACTCTGCCATCAACCATTTCTTCCACAATTGTCTTAACTGTTCTGGTTTTCAGTGATTCTGAAAATTAAAAATGCAAAAGGGGAATATAGTTACATCGGTGCTCAGAAAAGATCCTTGCTTGTCCTCTAGTCTTGTAAATTATACTTGGTTTGGAGTGATTGCTTGTTTGCTTGCTTTAAATAGAAAAAAACCATTGCTAAATAGTGGAGATGAGACATAAGACAAGACTGATAAGACATGACAGTAGCAAATTTACAAGTAAACAGATTCCTGATTTCCTATAAATGAGTGGATGAGAGTATATTGTGAAGAAAGGAAACCGACTTTCCCCATTCAACCTTTTCTTCCCAGGATTACTTCTCCATCTTGTTTTTTCTCCTTTTGTTTTCCTCGCAGGATGCGAGTGGAAGTAATCCCAGCTGCAAGAAAAACAGCTGGAGAAAAACAGGGATGGGGAATAGGTTCCTCTCCCTATTCCCACCCAACATGTGCCACCCTTTAAATCTCTTGTACCTTACTTGGTTTATAAGGAATTGGCAGGTGCTGAGATTGGTCCTGCTGGCATTTTGTTTAGATTAGTGCCAATGAAAAGAAAATACATTTTGATCCCGCAGTAGTGCAGTGCTGAGAATGATCAACTAAAATGTTTGCATGTCAGTCACTTAAAAAAAACCCCTAGGCAATTTAAATTTTGCAAAGCCTATATTTTTCCAATGCGTTTTAATTTTGAACAGATCTGTGATAGAGGAGGCACGAGATAAGTTTCATAAAGAAACTCAGGGTCTCTGGGGCTTCTGTACAGGAAGCCTTTAGTTTGCCACTTTAGCAAGGCTTCTGCTTCCAGAATCTTTGTGGAGTTAAGTTCAGTTCTTTTACATTTTTTCTCTTTTTTTCCACTTCCTTGTCCTTTCTCTTCCTTTTGGTACATTCCATTGCACAAAAACAAGGTGATGCTAGGGTACAGCAGAATAGCAAAACTGCACCAGCTTCTCATTCTTGTTGATTCTGGCATTTTCTGATGATGCCAGAGTTCCTTGTTCTAAAGAAAAGCTGCAGGAATGCTTTGAACTCATGGGAGTAGCCCTGAGGCAAAGGAAGTACAAACGCCCCGGCAGGCTGCCAGGAATGGGGAGTCACGCATGCACAAACAGTGACATGTGTGGAGAAGCCCTAGTGCTGTGAAGGGTCAAGAGGACTGTTCATATGAATACCATTTTTGGGTTGATGGAGTGAGCAGTGCCCCCCATGGGCAGCCATGCCCCCCACTCCCAAAATACCCAGCAGTCATGTGCCCCCTCCACACTGGTAATACATTTTGCCAGTGAATGAGAGTGATGGGGGAGGAATTGGGTTTGGGGTGGGAATCCATCGGATTTCCTGGCATGGCTCCCTGGACTCGGGCTCATGTTCTGTCTGCCCACAGTGAGCATCTGCCCGGAATCTGGGCACACACTGCCTGCCACTGTTAAGTGGAGTTCGGCTTTGCACCTGCCGCTTGCGAGCTTCCCACACTTGGCACAGGGGATCGCGCACTTCGTATGCTTTGTGCAAGGAGGGGATCCACTGGTGTTCCCAAGCACTCGTGCACCTGATCTCAGCTCAGGTTGCTTCCTGGCCAGGGCTGAGTGTCAGAAGGAAGTTCAGCAAGTGCAAGAGAACCAGATTCCAGCTGGATCGTCCCTCCGCTGGATCTCGACACACACTGCCGCACCTGCACAGAGATTCTGCGCACAAGGGGGCGTCCTGAGTAGGTCTTTGCATAGAAGAAGCAAGGGGGAATCAGAAACAAGCGGCAAAAGTAGGAAGGCAGGCCTTGGCAAGTATAGGCGGCCTAGAAATGCATGTAAATAAATAAATACGTAAAATAAATAAGCAATAGGAGAGTCAGTTTGCCATTGGCATGGAGGTAAGATACAGGCAAGGCCGGTTTGAAAGCAAGGGGACTATGAGGTGGAAGGAGAGGGGCCATATCTTTGGCCGTGCAATTATCTAATTACCTTTGCCAGAGCTTCCCAGACCCATAGAGCTGTAGCTTGTAGAGTCATATGTAAATCCAGATCCATAGCCCCTGCAAAAGAGAAACGTGGGGAAGGGGGTTGTGACATATGCTGGCATGGTATGCTTGGCTTTCTAGTGAGCAGTGAAGAATGACAGCAAAGTGCTTACGAGCAAGCATGGACCACAACTGTTGGTACTCAGCTCAGCCTTGCCTTTCTTTCAGAATAAGTTACTTAGGCCTCTGCTGATTTTCTAAATTCAGGAAGGGTCAGTACACGGAGGGAGGCATGAGGTGCACTGTCTCTGTCGCCAAGCACTCATCTTGGGACGAAGGCAATACTTACTTGCAATATTTCCTTCCTTTCTTCCTTCCTTCCTTGCTTGCTTCCTTTACATTCTCAAGAAAGCACTCAGGTTAACTCACAGTGGGTTGGTTCCAGAGGAAGTCAATCACAGTGAAATTCCATTGGAATCAATGTGAAAATCCTATCAATAAAACCCATTTATTTCAATGGGATTTCAGTGTGGCAAATCTACAATGCAACCTTGTACATCACTACTCAGAAGTAAATTATATAAAGTCTTAGGAGTAAATAGTATTAAGTCTTACACAGCGCACAACCACAATCCTGGATGGAGCACTTCGGTTGGGAACCTACCTATTATCCTCCTGAGTGCCTCTTTCAAAGGGCTCTCAGAGGGTGGCAAGAAGGGGGTCTTTTCTGTGGTAGCCCCCTGATGTGGAATGACTGAGACCCTCTTGGCGCCAATACCGCTATCTTTTCAACACTGTGTTCTCAGGCACAGAGAGAATATGGTGCGATTTTAATTTGCTTGCTATATCAGGTAATAGTTTCTAGCTGTTTTACATGGTTTCAAAATTGTATATGTCAGAGGATTTTTAGATTATGTTTTGTAATTTTGGGACCCAGAGTGGGTGATATAGAAATGAAATAAATGAAATGTCAGCACACTGAGCCTTACTCCCACTTAAGTGTGTGTGCCTAGCCTTAGTTTGGCTCTAATACACTACAGATAAACCAATATTTAGAAAATCATGGAGAATAACCATGCTGACTGGAAAATGCCAGGAATTGTAGGACTTTATGTAAATATCCGTAGGATTGCATCCCAACCCCTAACCCCCACCCCTAAAATCACAGTAAAATAGAGTCAATGTGGCCTAGTGGTTAGCAGAGTTGGGTTCTAGTCCCCACTCAAGCCTGAAGCTCACTGGGTGACTTTGGGCCAGTTGCTAACTCTCAGCCTAAACTACCTTACAGGGTTGTTGTCATGAGGATAAAATGGAGAAAGGAGTGATGTAGGCTGCCTTGGATTTCTTCAGAGAAGAAAAAGGCAGGGTATAAAAGAAAAAATGATAGTAATAGTATAAAACCCAGTAAACTTTTAGAAACATGAAACAGAATGCATGCCCTAGTCTTATCTACATAAGTCAGTCTTAACTCAGTGATCAAGCACTCTAAGCAATAAGGCAAAATAGACCTTGGAGGTGTAGAGATTTCCACTGTGTGTATTGCCACAGAGAAGGCATTTTTTTTTGATTCTCATATCTGCCTGACCTACTTAAAGCAAGATCTGATTCCGCTTCTCAAAAATGTATCTCTGTATCCTGAACTCTTAGATCAGGGAAAATAAACATTTAAGTTGTATCTTATCCTACTCTTTGTGCATGGCTGCACGAAAAGTTAGTTTTCTCCATTTCTTTCATGCCCTGCCACACTCTCGTCTGCATTGCAGGCAGGATTGTAGCTTGGAAGAAACACTCCAGCGGTGCCCAAAAGTGGTGGTGTAGGAACACGGTGTCCCTGCACACCGTCTTTCTTGCTAAAGTGGAGTGGAAACCGATCTTTTCTACATGAAGCATTTATTATGCTCTTGAGTTAATGTTATGCCCCTCCGGTTTTGCTTTTGTGTTTAACCTGCCCTTCTCAGGAGTTTCTTAGAGCAAGGAAAAAGGGGCATTTCATCAGGAAAGCAAAAGAAAGTGCAATTTCTTCTTGTGTATTTGTGCTATTCCATGATACCTCAGTGCCATCAAGGGGCACATGCGCATCACGTAGTGTTTTAATATTGATTCTGTGAGGGAACCAAAAGCACGCACAGCAGTTAACGGCCATTTTGCAGCCTTGTGTGGAAAAGCTCCTTATTGTAGGTCAATAGAATGGATTGGATCAATACTTAGTTGCATGTAGGATAATGCTATCGAAATGAATGAGACAAACAGCTTGGCTTTAAGTTGGTCACCACTCGCTTCCATCCCACTGATTTCAATGGGCCCACTCTGGGTTTGCTTAATTCTGGATCCCATCTCAGGCCTCTGGAAGCTTCTTCCAAAGGGCTTTGTAGCTGTGCAAATCAACACACCCACACTGCTGCTGCTAAGAAGAGCACCTTAAAGACTGGCAAAAGTATTAGGACAGTATTTCATGGATTCAGGTGCACAAAATCATTGGACCCAAATACCTTCATTAGCCTGCAAGAGACTACCAGACTCCGTGTGTTTGTTTCCAATGTGAGAATGTGGTTTCTTCACTTGAATGTGACACGCCTCCCTTACCCTCCTTCTCCATCCAGCAGGCGGCGGTAGGTCTCTATCTCCTTCTCCAGACGGGTCTTGATGCCCATAAGCTGCTGGTACTCCACATTCTGGGTTTCCATTTCAGAGCGGAGCTGCATGAGCTGTTCCTCTAAACTACTGATCTGCCCCTGCATTTGGGCGAGCTGATCACAGTAATTTCGCTCTGTTTCTGCCAAACTACCTTCAAGAGATTGTTTCTGTTGGGCGATGGAGCCATGGGTGGCAGGAAGAAAAAAATATAGCAGCAATTAGTGAGCATAGAGGACCGTAGGAAGCTGTAGGGGAGAACAGTATTTTAAATGGTATTATGAAAACTCTTATTTTGAACAAAACATGTAAAATCCCGTTGAAAATCTGTTGATTTGTGCCTTCTTGGTGCTTGTGTATCTTTCACCTATTAGAGGTCCATGCATTTTTACACACTTAAGTCCAGTTAAATTCATTGGCGCTTACTCTGAGGCTGGTGAGTATAGTGATTGTAGTTAAATTATCCATCTCTGCACACACGATTAAATTATGGTTGGGGTTTGGCCAAGTTCACTGGGGAAATAAGCTAACATTAAGGGTTAAAACTAGCAAAGTGCAGGGAAGGGCATCTTCAGCCTCTAAGGTCCCATTTTGGATTGGGGACTCAGCAGCTGAAGCTTTCCTTGGAATGCAGACTGCAACTGCAGCTCTCTGACCTAGACTGGGGCCACCACGAGGAGCAAAATATTTAAACTCTGCTCTCTTACAAAGTAGAAACTGAATCTGATCAACTCTCCTGCATGTAGTTACATTTAAAAAAACACTCATGCTGCTGCTATTAGCCTTGAGTTAGCCAAAGGTACCTATGAAGATATTTGTACTGCTTATGTAGAAATCATTGAAGTTGTGGTTTGCCTTGCAACTCTTCAAAATGTTTGCTTTGGTTCCCCTGACCTTCGTGGGTTCTTTTATATTTTATATTTATTTTATATTGTTAATTTTAATTTTATATTGTTATTTTTGTATTTTATTGTATTTTATTGTGTTGTAAACTGCCCCGAGGCTTTGGCAAGGGGCGGCATAGAAATGTTCTAATAAATAAATAAATAAATAAAATTTTGGTTTCTCCTCCTAACCCTTCTCCTCTTTGACTTCAACTGCAACTTCGTTTTCATGGCGCTTTCCATGATTCATCGTTATGGACCTGGTAGCCCAAGGGCTATGTGAGCTGAAGACTGTTGGGGAAGTTTGTTTGTTTGTTGTCACATCAAGAAGGCTCAATTTGTGGATCAGATCAGGAGTGTTGCATTGCCATCTTGGTATGTGCTAGTGGGTTTGCAAAATGAGCAAATGGGCCAAGTGGCAGACCCATTTGCTACATTCAAATTGGTCGTGGGAATCAGCTCTCCGATCCAAATATGAACTGAGGACACTTTCCTCCAAAATCTAATTCTTACAGCCCTAGCACGACCATTCTGAAGAACCTGAGGTGGGATGACGATGCACCTACCATGGCAAGCTGGGCCTGCAGCTCCAGTTCCAGACCCTGGATAGTACGCCTCAGATCTGAAATTTCACTCTTGCTTGTGTTCAGTTGATCCATGTTGACCGAAATCTGTTGTCTCAGAGTTCCAACCTGAGACAAAGATATCAAAAAGGAAGCGTGTTTAGTGGGCTAGATAATCTGCGTATCCCCCAGGATTTGTGGCATGGGGCACATGCTTACCTGTCTGTTGAACTGTTCTTCTGCCTCTCTCCGATTCTTTTCAGCAAGTTCTTCATACTGTGCTCTCATCTCATTCAGGAGTTTGGTCAGGTCAAGTCCTGGAGCAGCATCCATTTCAACGCTGACATCTCCACTCGATAAGCCTCGGAAACTCTTCAGGTCCTGCAATAGGAAAGGCCCAGTGGATTTTTGATAGCAAACAATATAAGCCAGCCATTTAGGTGACAAGAGGATGTGAAACCCCCTTGGAATGCATGAGATCTGTGCATACATAGGCTTTGCCAGTCTTTTTATATGTTTCAGTTATTTCTTTTTTCAAGCACCTTAGGAACTCTAAATACAGTTTTTCACACATGCTTTAACCTGGAAAATGCACATGTCCCTTGAATTACTACTCACTAGCTCCTTGCTGGAAAATTACTGCTTAATATTTCTTTGGATCTGAAAATTAATTTGGAAGCACTGAATGGAGTTTTCCCGTGGCATAGCACCTTACACTGAAAATGGAATGCATGAATGAATAAACATTCGAAAACATAAGAGCATGTTGCATTTGTTAGAAAACCTGTCTTGTGATGTGGGAGTTGAGGAACTGTGGAAAAATAAAAGCAGGATAGTTTTGTGTGGGGGAATTAGGAGGAGGAGGAGGTGCACTTGAGGGGCATGCATATATATTTCCCCCCAGAATGGGAGCTCAAGAACTGCTAACCATTTTCTTGGAGAATCTGTTACAAATCTTTTCTGCTCAATGTTCTCCATTGACCACCAGATGGCAGGTGTGCCTGTGTTTATGGAGTTTTCATTGCCTCCACAATGGGGAGAAAAAATAGGATGCGTCTCCCAGACAGGAGAGGCTGGTGACCTCTGTCAGTGGGGTTCCTTATCACAGCTTTAGAGGAACTGTCTTTATTGCTGAACTCTACTCCCTGAACTAGGCTCCCCTCCATGGATAGCTCATTTAAAGCCCAAGATAAACTTTGCAATGGATAAGGAGCCCCAGCGGAAACCACTGGCATAGGATTCTCCTGCTGCTCTTGATGCTGGATGAGGCTATGGTGCAAAGTTCCTGCCCCAGGCATAGAAATCCAGGTGTGGTTTTCTTCCCCTCTTAACCATCTCATCCTTTCTCTTCATTTTTTTAAAATTTTTGCCCACTCCTCCAAATTAGTTAAGGGGAAAAAGAAAGTCTAGCTGGACTGTGCCTTTGGACTGCTGGAGAATGCAAGCAGCTATTTCTGGCTTGTCTTGCTTTGATGTCAGTAGCACATGTAAGGTCCAGAAGCTGATTGGAATGAACTGGACCACTGCCAGGACTGAAACACACCCCTTCCCCTCACTCTGGTATGAAGTTTTGGAGAGACCTTTCCCTTACCTCTTCGTGGTTCTTCTTGAGGTAAGTCAGCTCCTCTTTCAGGCTTTCGATCTGCAGCTCTAAGTCAGACCTATTCATGGTTAAGTCATCCAAGACTTTCCGCAGGCCATTGATATCACTCATCACACTCTGGTGTAGGAACAGCTCATTTTCATACCTTTAAAAGTAATATACGAAGAGTAACACAGTTGTACTGACTGTAAAAGAAATCAGATGTTGTATAATTACAGGCAATGACCTGTGGATCAGAATGAGGCCTTTTGCTTTCTGCAAATGCTCCAAAGCTGGCAAAAAAGGAGGTGTGCAGGGCAGGGGAGCGAGTGCAGAGGTCATCTCTTACTTCCTTTCCCGTCCTAGGAATTTGGTACTTACTTAAGTTTAAAATCATCGGCAGCTAGTCGAGCATTGTCAATTTGCAAAACGATCCCAGCATTTTCAATAGTTTGTTTCTGGATCTGCAAGCAAACATATTTATTTGTTTGTTTGTTTGTTTGTTCATTTAATGCACCATATAAAAGGTGGGTGCATACTAAACGTACTAGCCATCCTCTTCTGATTCAGCTTTCATTTTGAGCTTTGTTACAGCCATTATTCCTGGTATTTCTTGGGACTTGGCACACTTTACGCCAAAGTAATATACTGGAATCACTGAAACATCTTGTAAAGCTTTAAGGAAAGGAACACTAGGAAAAGAAAGGAGAGGATAGACATAAGGTAACCAACTCATGTGGCCAGAGGATATTTAGATACTTTTGGTTTTTCATGGTGGGACGGGCACAGTGGGGATTGATACCTGCATGGAATCTGTTACAGCAGAAGTACAAATAGCTCCCAGGGTGAGATTGTAGGAGTGCCTTTCAAAGCCTTTGCAAAGAGGGAGAAGGAGCAGAGTCTTTGCTAATATCTAAGATGAGTTTATCCCAAGGGTGTAACTAAAACAGAACATCTAGAAAACGTTAGCTGTCTCGCACGGTACTTTTTCTAAAATAATATTATCTTTGGGCAATTTGTTATAGAAAGTTATATTCCTTGTTGTACTTTTTGTATTTCTTCATTGCAAGAACTCAGCTAAACTACACTTTTATGTCTTAATTAATTTATGAATTAATTTCATTGATGTGGTATATATCCCACCTTTGCACCCAAAGGCATTTGAAGGCACAATTAAAACTATTTTTCTGTTCCAAAACCTTGCATCTAAATCATACAATTCCTCCCTCAATGCTTTCCTTTTCTATTTTTCCTTCTTACAATATTTAAGCCCATTTAAAGCATTGCATTAATAGCATTTTAAGAATATATTCTTTCTCCCCCATCCCCAGTTTCCAGCCACGCATGAGCCAGTAATTCTGCTGTAGAAAAATGTAGGCACATCGCTTGTAAGTAGCCGTAGCTCAGGCACAGGGCGCATGCTTTTTATGTTGATATAGGTTCAGTCCCTATGCTCTTATTCAGTATAGAAGATCTCAGGTAGCAACTAGTGCATTAGCAATTGCCTTAGATCTTGGAGAATCAGTTGGGTGGTTGAGCAGACCACCCTAATGGTGGGCTTCAGCTGACACAATAACTAAAGGGTTGAGTTTGGGTTGTTTCAGAACCATGGGTTGTGGAATCATTGGCTATCATGTTGTCTGAGCCAAGCCAAGATCACAATCCATGCTGAACAAAGTTTGTTAAGCCAAAGCCTGTTGGTTCTCTTCATGGTTTGTTTGTCATTCACAAGCCAGTGAAGTTGTTAGCCCAGTAGGGTTCAGGCAACACAAGAACCAATGCTTTAATGCAGGGCCGTCTTAACAGCATTATGGGCCGCGGGCAAAGCAGTGTCCTGGGGCCCCTACGACAACTACATCTACTGTTAATTTTGGAAGTTTTCCAATTTTCCAAAGATTAGTATGGGGCCCACGGGCAAGTGCCCATCAGGCCCATGCGTTAAGACGGCCCTGCTTTAATGACAATCTATACCCATCTCTAGGGTGTATGACGTCTTCACATGGGGAAAAAGCTGCTTCACTTAGGAAAAATGATAACTGTCTGCCTAAACTGTAGATGATTCCCATGGTTATGGTTTTGTACCCTCAATCTTTAGTACTGGACAAAATAATTTTGCATCCTTTAACCTGGAATATGCCTGCTCAAATCTTAAACAGGTTTGTTCAACAAGGGCACACAATAGCCAATGAATTGCAGTTAATTGCTTCACAAATGTAATTGCACCATGAGAATAAGAGCAGTGAGGTGCAGCTACACATCAAGTCATTCCCTGGAAGAATTTGAGACCCAGCAATTTTTAGTAAGCAAAGTTTAACTTTCACATGGGAGCAGTTTATGTATAGAATACTCAGAACAACGATCACCACAGGGATGCAGAGAAGTTTACAAGCTGGCTGTCCTGTAGAGTAAAGCAGAAGAAACTACAGTTTAATTGTAGATTCTTGAGAAGTTGTTATGCGTACCAGTGAAATGAGGCCCGAGTGCACACTCATGTGCCAACATCACGCAAACGCATTCTGATGACTTACTTTGTTCTGAAGATCCTCAATGATGTTAAAATATTTGCTGTAGTCAGGGTCAGCTCGAGGAGTGCTGAACTTTGCATACCATTCCTTGATTCTGAGTTCCAGCACTGCATTTGCCTCCTCGAGGGCATGCACTTTATCCAAGTAGTTCGCAAGGCGGTTGTTCAGACTTTGCATGGTTTGCTTCTCATTGGTATTGAGGATGCCCTCTCCCTCCCCAAAGCCACCGCCAAAGCCACCGCCACCACCGAGACCAACGCCAAAGCCACCGCCACCACCAAGGCCACCGCCAAGGCCACCACCAAAGCCACCGCCAGAGCCACCGCCGTAGCCACCGCCGTAGCCACCGCCATAGCCACCTCCAAAGCTGGTGCTGGTATAGCCACCACTCAGGCCTGTGCTCAGGGCTGTTCCATATCCCCCAGCAAGGCTTCCTCCACTGTAACCACCTCCGCCATAACCTCCAGCAAATTTGGAGCCGCCACTGTATCCTCCACTAGTAGATAACCTGACGGACCCTCCACCACCACCTCCAATGCTGTATGAAGACAGCTGTCGGGAAGAGCCAGATGTGAGGACGGAGAGCGCCATGGTGGCTGAGCAAGAAGGATGATTGATGTCCTAGCAAAGCAAGGCAGTAAGAAAGAGTACATCAAAGTGGTGGGCTTCTGATGCTTATATAGAGAGCTAATGGGGTGTATCGTTTCCGCCCCATCGTGGCAAAAGCAATCCTTTGCCAAGTCAGTGTCTTAATATTCATAATTAGGCAATTATTTTGTCTAATTAAAATCTGATATTGCTTCATTTCACAGAAATATATATCCTTGGGTTATTTAGTATGCCAGCATTCTAAATGGAACTGGGTGGAAGGGAGCCAAAAACATTTTACTTTTCTTTTTATTGTTTTCATGAGCAACACTTTTCCTTTTTCTCTCTTCATCTTTTAACTTCAGTTAGTTTACATTTTCATGAACATTTCCAGCCTCTGGGCATAACCCTTCTAAATGAAGGAGGAAGCCAAGCAAAATTTCAAGTGACATGTATGGACAACACATACTTTATACTCTTCAACTGGGAATTAATTTTTTCATCTACCAGAACAACAGATGTCAAATACCTTGTCAAAGTTTGGCTCGAAATTGCAGTTTGCCTGCTTGGATATATTTATTAAAAATCTTTGATGTTGTATCTCCATTCTTAATCTGATTTGCAGCCTGTCTTTACAAGCTCCAAAAGATGAGAAGAGGTGGGAATGGGATTAGCAGATGCAAGAATTCATCATCAATATTAGGCAATTAATTCACATATAGATCCAAATTTCTACTGCCAATACTTTTGTAGAATTCCTCTGCAATTGCAATTTCCATGAAAGAGCACAGCATGATCTTTTCACTTCACACCCTCTTTTCTGGTACACTTCAAGCTCACACAGCCTGTGAGCCTGTGTTAATTTTGCAAAAATGTGGCCCTAATGCAGCTATGCCCATTTTCACATTTTCAAACAGTGTGTTGTCTGACAAATAGTTTGCTATTGTATATTGCCAAATAGTGTTTATGATAGTTTAATGTCCTTTTGTAGCTGATCAACAATGCTGTGATTTCTGTGGGTTTGTGATACTTCTGTGGAGCTGGGGAAATTTTGTAGTCATTTTTTCTTGGGTTGAATTAAAAATGCCAAGTGGTACTTCCTACTCTGTTAACCTAACAGTGGAAAGTGAAATGTTTTCATCTTTTAATTTTGTTTTTCTACTGAGAAAATGTTATTTGGCCATACAAAGTATAATAGAGGGCAAGAAAATGTTCCATCAAAGAAAAAAAAGAGACAATGGTGAAAACATTTTGCATCTAATGTTCAATCATTTAGTTTCTACCCACAGATCTTTCTGCAATGGGTCAAGTAGGAAAATTAGTTGTATAGTGGTATAATGCACTATTTAAACTTTGCAGGACAATGTTTACCAAGAGTAGCCCTCAGTGATTTCCCAGATTGGAAGAATGATCAGATTTTTAAGCTCCTGGCCATATATTTTGTAGGCCTGAGAAACGCATCCCAGTTCTGAGCTGTTAACTGTGCCTGGGATTGTTGCTCATGATGTACCAAGTCAGCCATCAGTTAGAGGTGTGCACCCGTGTGGAGCGCCTGAGCAGATGCTGCCAGTTGTCTAAATCTGTACTGGGGCAGTTGTCTTGCATCTGTACTGGGGCAGTTGAAGTGAGGGTCCCATCCAGTGGATGAATGACATCCATTGTTGCTGCTGCTGCTAAATTTCTGTACTGCCACTTGGCCATAAGAGACTCTCAAGGCTGTTTACTGAAATGCAAGAGACATTTAAATGGAATCTAAAATCAAGTATGAAATCTCTGGCCGCCCAGAGAAGATGATGCTAATAGGCAGCCTTTAAGCAAAACTAATAACAATAAAATAAATAAAAATTCAACACAACAACAAAAAAATCAAATTGATTACATGAGACAATAAACGCAACCGTTTACAAGAATTATGAAACAATGGCAGCAATGCGGAGGAATTAAAATTAAAATTAAACCAATTTATTATTATTATTTAGCCTACAACTACAAACCACCCAGCCAGCTGGTCATGGCCTTGTACCTCATGGCAGTTGATGGTGTCTTTCTTCTAGATCAAGAAACGGTGTTCTTTGGCTTCTCCATGGTCTTATCTCATCATCTTTTGCACTTCTTTGTGTGCAAGGACCACTGAGGCCGGCACCGGCTCATGGTCTGGGGACCCTTGGCCATGAATCTGTCAGCGGCATCACTCTCCCGTTCCTTGATGCTCCTACCCACTAACTTTCCTTCTGGGCTTTCCTCTGGAATTCTTTAGGGGAGGGCCGTGGCTTGGTGGTAGAGCATCTGCCTTCCATTTAGGAGGTCCCTACTTCAAGCCTCAGCATCTCCAGGAAGGGGTGGAAAAACACCAGCCCACCACCCAGAAGATCCTCTACCAGCCCGAGTCAGCAGTTCCGGACTAGATAGACTCGGTATAAAGCAGTTTCATACATCCTTGTGACCCACCTGGGTGAGGTGTAATGGCCTTCACTGCTGCGGCCACCCGGTTGTGGCTGAGCAAGGAACCACAGCACCAGTAGGAAGGGGCACCCCACATGCTCCTGGTTCTCTCACTGTGCCCCCTTTTTCTGCCTCTGCCACATGTCAAGAGCAAGGGCCGGTTCTGCTGAAATGGTTGCCCATGGTGTTCTCCATTTTGAAGCCCAGATAATGTGGCATACGTGGCAAACCAGTGGCTTGGAGCATTTGCCACAAGGGCAGATGAGCCGTGGCTTCCTGCAATGCGATCGGTGCTTTGGAAACGGGCTTCAGACATCTGGTTTGCCGCCAGCACTGTTCTGTCTGAGTGGAAAAGTGCTCTTGAGCACCTGGAGGGCAGATGATTTTCTCTGCCTGGATTTACTCTTTGAGCATTTCTCATTTCATACTTCTGTGGAAGACTAGCAAGTTGGAACACACCTCATGACTGAGAAGAGTGCTTTCTAGTTCAGGGTTTAGTATTGTTTTGTTTTTTGCTATAAGCATGCCAGTGATGAGACTTGATGGTGTGAGCGTTTCACTTCCGTCTGTTTGTAAAACGAGAGGCGCACAGTTAATTATTTCTGCATCAGTAAAGCTTAGGGCTGACAACCTTAAGCTGTTTTAGTCGCATTGATGTGTGATAATTTGTGATGCTATGTTTAAGAGACATTTTGCATTTTACTGATGTTTTAGTGTGCACTGCAAATTTTCATGGACCAGTTTTCTGCAGCTTTGTATCCTATCTTCTGAACACAAGCGGTGGTGCAGCCCCCTGAGTGAGCACCAAGAGAGTGGTGGATGATGGGATAGTGGCCAAAGGGCCCAGCCAGCATCAGCACCTGACTCAGCATGGGTATGGCTATGTAAGCGTCAGCTGGACTGATGCTGCTCACTGTAGCATCTTTTATTCTTCTTCCTGTGGTTGGGATCAGCTGGCTGGACATGTTTATAATTAAAGAAGTTCATTGGATTACTTTACTTTAAATAGAGAAGATCCTGCTCCACAAAAAATGGTGCTTATTCCCAGATAAAACTTTATTCTGTTGCTCTCATAGTAAACATCTTGGCCCTGTAGCCATGATGATGAACATAGAGCCTCTCTCTCTCTCTCCTGTCCCCCTCACTTTCCCTTTCCCTTTTTTTCCATTGGAGTGGAAAACAGGTGTGGCATTTCTTTGGCAGGGGGAGGGGGGAATTTAATTTTTCAGGAATGTAGAAGAAGCTGTAAACGTGTCATGGCAAGGTGGTGGGAGAAGAAAAATGCTAGTCATGTGTGTCAGGGCCAAAGTAATATAATGGAATGCTTAAATGAGTCTCTTGTTAAGACCCGTAAGTCATTAAATTAAGATCATGGGGTTACTCTGGGCCAGGCACTCCCTCTCAGCCTAACCTACTTCACAGGGATGTTGTTGCGAGGATAAAACAAGTGTGGAGGACGTCCAGGTAAGCCACTTTGCAAGAGGAAAAAAGGCAGGATATAAATGTCATAATAGGAAATAAATTAAAGAAATAATAGGCTCAGGCTATTATTGTGTATTGTGTTTGAGGCGAGATCCAGCCCTGGTCCTGAGGCTACCGCAGTGGCCTCCCTCAGTTGTGCTAAGTTCCTCACTAAGAAACCCCAGACTAATAGTCTAGGATCTGACATCTGGATTGTGGGCTTGAACACCATGAAGCTGCAGGCCAACTGTGTAGTTGCAGAGGGAGGAAGGGCTGGAGGAAGGCCTTCCCTACCAGGGTGGCAGATTAAGTTGTTTGCAACAGATAAAATCAGCTTTGGAAATGCCTTTAATCAAGGAATTTTTTAATGATTGCAAGAGCAGAAACTGTTAACTAGGAAACATTACTAAGAGAAACTACTTTCAGTGTAACAGAACACTAAGAAAGCAGAGAATGTCTAAGCAGAAGTCATCTTAAGAGAAGGAAAGATTTCCAGTGTAGGTTTGTAGGTTAGCTGTAATAGCCATGCGTAGTCTTCTTACATTGCAACATCTGCAGAAGCCAAAAAGTGCTCCTGCTTGCCATTGTGATGTTTATATTACTGAGTTTCTTCAACAGATTGGACCTTGGAGGATGTGATTCGCCCGTGCTCATCTAATTCTTCAATGATTGTTTTAATCACTCTTGTTCTCCTTGCTTCTAAAAGAAAAGCAAACAAAACGCAAGTCATTCAAAGTGCAGATGCCAAGAATTCTTTGCAAAAAAGCATCCAAAATACAAAAAAGTATTTACAAAAGTATTTTATCTTCTGAACAGCAAAGCAGGGTATTTCTACTAAAATCCACCTGTGAGTCTTTTCTGCTATAATACTGAATGCAAGAGTAGACAACACAGTGTTGTCTGGACCTTTTTGAGGGCAACTGCCCTATAATCTCTGACCATTTGCCATGCTGGCTGTGGCAGATAGGAGTTGTAATCCAAAACACCCGGAAGATGCCAAGTTGCCAGTGCATGAAGCTACAAGATCACAGACCCTTACCCTTGACCTTATGTTATCTCAATTTTGAACCTGTTCAGGACTTTAGATTTCATGACCTTTCAATTTCTGGATTCTTTTTTTTCCATATGCTTCCTGGAAACAAAATTATGAGATCATATTGGAACACTTGTAGCTCCGTTTTGAAAGCCTTCTTAGCTTTAATCTTCCATGAAGTTAAAGAAAATTGAGGAAAAAATAGTTTAAAAGCTCTCAAACCACTTGAATCATTACAAGTATAAATATGTTATTATTTCAGAATCTGTAATGACAGCAACACGAGTCTGAATTGAAAAAATGGATTTGCAACTTGGTGAGGAACTTGCAAATTAAGATGAGGTCAGCTGTCCTAACACAAATTTTATAGACCTGTGCCTCACACAATTGGATGCCTTCTAAATGCAATAAATAAATACCATACAACAGGACTGCAGGCGGAAGAAATTAGAAACGATGTGATGCTTTCCATGCAAACACAGCATTGTCCAATTTGTAGTTTGCAGCACCTGTGCACACCTTGAGATGGCTCACATCAAGGATGAGTAGGGATTTCTTATCAGGTCCTTCTTGATAAGAATTTGCCAGAATGCCCCCACCTAGTCCCAGGACTTTGTGGTCTTAGCTTCTAAAACTTTGGGTCTGAATCCCTCTCTTTCCGACCAGCAGGCAGAAACAATGTGGCTCTCCATGCTGCAAATAGTTGTACCTACTGAGTTTGGCTCATACAGAGAGGCACGGATTTTGTTTCAGTTACTTTTTGATAAGAATTTACTGACATTTGCATTTTTTGTGTTTTAGAAGGGAAGAACTCAGCCTTGACAAACTCAAATGCAGCAGAAATGAAACTGACAGCTTTGACCATTCTTGCCTGCAGATAGTTTGATGAGTTGTCAAAGTTGTCTCGGAATGTGTGCCAGGTACCAGGACTTGGATGTTTACAATGAACTTCTGTACATCTTTCCTATTGAATCCTGTTCACAAGGAAGATGTACAGATGACATCCATTCTTGTCTTTCTTCTGTGCTTTGATTGAATGGGAAGTGGGGGAATCCATGGAGCATCAGAATCAGCCCGTAAGCTCCATCAATGATATTTACCTTTCTCTCTGAATGTGGAATTGGTGCTTGTAGCTGCAGTTCCTCTGGAACTGGATTCTCTGCTAGTATCTCCATTGCCAGATCCTGAACCTCTTAATCCAGAACCTGTTCCAGAACCCAGATTTCGTGATCCTGGTCTTCTGCTGTCTCTTGTTCCAGACTCACTGTAAGAGGCCATGGGTTTGTTCTGGTTATTCTGGCTTAGTTCCATTTCCAACATTGTTAATAATAGCAAACCAGTCCAAAATACTTATTTCATGTAGCACCTAGTCCCTACATGAAATAAATTATAGCCATAACACCTAAACACAGAATTGTGTCCATGATATTCCAGGCAAATGGAATTTTAAAATTAATGCAGCTCCAGAGTTGACTGCTGACTCAGCCAAATAACTTTCTTGTGACTATGGTAAAAAAAGGCCATTCTGCATGTGACAATTGTGTTACTTTCAGCAAATAGCATCTCTGATACTTCAAGTACCCCAAGAATCTATGACTAAGTTGATCATGCTGGTGACACTGTAGAACAGAAAGCACCATAAAGGATCCATAAAGGCCATCCAGAGGGCAAAATGCTTATATCACACAGGTGTTGTTGTTGGTTATGGGTTATTTTAAACAGGCTTAAACTGTAAAAGATTCTGCGAATGGATGCAGTCAAAGTCAGAACCAGCATCCAGTTCATTAAAGAAAAACAAGATGTTTAGATAGTTCTCTTTTTCAAAAGTATCATGACAAGATGCAACTCAGGAACCATCAGTCCCATTGCTGCTTCCTGTTAATGTAGCTTAGGGAGATGACTTTCTCCCACACTAGTAGCCTTTCGTTTAGCATTTGGCATTTACAGCTTCTGCACTAAATACAGCAAGGACTGACCATTCCCCTTAAGTGATGCCACTGGTGTTCCTAGGGGAACAGCCAAGTATCTCAGAAATGTATACTGCAGAATGCCCATAGTATTGTACCTCAAATTTCCGTCCCCCAACCTCATGAAAGCATCATTGGAAGACATCTTTAGTCACAGGGATCTTTAGAGCTGATCCCACAAGCAGTGCACCCTTTGATCTCCAGGAATTAAAAACCTCTTGTGAAGTTCTTGAGGCCGCTTGAGGAGGTACTAAGGCGTCGAATCTGAGACCTCAGAAATACATACCAGGTACAGAATCATTATCTGGCACATTACATTATTTTATAATAAGGGACAGGGAAGACAGCACTAAATTAGAAAGGTCTTAGAAAGAAAAGGCTGCAGTCCTATGTACACTTATCTGGGAGTATGTTGAATTCAGTAGGACAGACATAGGATTGCTTTGCAAGTTGTAACTACACCAAAGGATAAAGCAGGCAAGGAATTTCATTTTCATCTGTTGAAGTTCCAAAAGCCACTTCATAAAAGTTTTGGTCACAACATTCAATATTTTTGACCTCAGTTTAGTTATTATTGAATTGTTTAAACTTCCTCCTCTCTTGTAACTTTGTTATTTTTAAATGCTATATTTTGTTGTGTAAATGGTCCTGATATTGTTGGAAGTTGCTTGCAGCCTTGTAAAGAACAAATACATCGAGGAGGAGGATATTTAATGAGATTGTGATTCTCTTTCCAGCTCTTTCAAACTCTTAGTCAACCGGGAGTTAAAGTAGCTGTGTGCCCCTGCTTTGCGCCTCTATGGGGAAAAATTAACAATCTATGAGAATTTGGTTTAGGTTTGTTTTTGTTTTTTTGTTTCAGGCTTGCCCCATTCACAATCCCAAACATGAACACAATCACAAATTGGAGCACAATGTTCCAAAGAGCTCCCAGAATTCCTGATCATCATTATACAGTATCATTTTAAAAATTGCACATTCATACTGTAGTCTATGTGGGTAAAGTGTGCATTTTAGGAGCACACTTTAAAAACTCACACTGAAATGTGCAGTTTTTGGATTCACGAAAAGAAAGAAATTTAGGAATGGGAATGAGAGGAACTGAACTCAGAGGTGAAGGTAAAAGAATTTTGACCATCTCTAACCACTCTGATTCTCCAATTCCATTCCTAGAACAAATGTGACTTTAAGGAATTATTTTGCACCTTTCTGATAGACAAGAAATCTGAGAGTTAAAACTAGCACCTTTCTGATTGCCTGGTATGATAAGAATCATACCAGGCAATCTCCGTAGCCTCCGGAGTCTTTGTCTCTGCATGCAGCTCTGTTAGTGCTGGTTGAGCCGAACAGTTGTACGAAGGAATGTGCTTGCTTACAGATAACGTGGCATTCTGCCCTGACATCATAAAGCAGTTATGCTAGTGTGCTTTGTATATTTATACTGGCTTATGGAACATCTGATATACAAACATTTGTATTATTTATGACTCTGGGCAACTTGAAACCTGCTGTAAGGAAAACCTTTATTTCATTTTGAAATCAGGTTTTAAAAAAGAAGTGACTCCTGCAAAAAGAAGATGCAGCCTACCTTGCCTCTCCATCAATCAGGCTCCGATAGGTCTCGATCTCATTCTCCAGGCGGATCTTGATGTCCAGGAGTTTCCTGTAGTCTGCATTCTGGCACTCCATGTCCTCCCTGATCTGCTGTACTTGCGTCTCCATGTTGCTGATCAGCCCTTGCATTTGGGAGAGTTGGGCGCAGTAGCGGCCTTCCGTCTCTGCCAGCGTGCCTTCGAGCGAATGCCTCTGACAAAGTGCAGGCATGCGATCTTAACACGGTTTCTACACATTCAAGATCTCAAAAGGTTGCTAACCTAGAATATCCTGGATGGACAATCACCAAGGAATCCCAGGTTATCTGAGACACTTATCCATGCTACCTTTCTTGAACAGAGCAGCATTGCGCCCTGATTCACAGAAAACTGTGCTCTGTTTGAGAGGTGGCAGAAGGGAAAGCTTCATCTATTGCTAGATCTCTGAGTGATCCATGGAAGCTCAGGAAGGGTTTATTTAGAGCTAGTCACAACAAGATTACTCCTCACCTCCAAATCATACTATTGTTGTGAAGAAAGCTCAGAGTAACCAGAAGAAGAAAACATGGGGTAACTTCCTAGGTTAGAGCTTTTTTTAGTTTAGGTGTACGCCTTCTGCACTGAGCTCCAGAAGGTAAATTTGAGTGTTGAAGCTCCAGGTCCGCCTTTCCTACCCTGATGCACTTGACAGGAGACCATCCTGTGTTTGGAGGTGGCCTCTGCTTGAAGCCGCTGGTTCAAGCCCAGTTTAAAGAACCATAAGAAGGGTAGAGCCAGCAGGGGGCTTGAAGTTCCCATCAACCGTTCATATCCAGGCCGTGGGCTGGCTGCAGCTTTCCCTTCTGTGGCAAAATATGTTCTATTTCCATTAAAATTATAGCAACTCTCTCAAAATATGCATTAATAGGAATAAACCAGCATGCACAGATCTGCACCCTCTTTATGGCAATGTACAAGTGACTGCTCTGTGGATTTCCCACAGATGGGATCCTGGTGGGCCCAGTGAAGAATGGATTGCTAGATTATATAGATTGTTGCATTCCTCCTATGTGGAAACAAGGTCTGGCATATACAGTGCCCAGGGATATGAAGAACCTCAGAACTCAAGCTCATTTGGCCATGAATTTCTCACAAGGGGCCCAGCAACGGTTTTATTCACTTTTATAAAAGCAAGCTTAAAACAAGCCACTCTTCTTTTGAAGGAAAAGCAGCTGCAGGGCCCTAGTTCAAGATGTGGCCCTAGTCCAGGACATGTCTGCCCCAGTTTATTGCTGCAAACTCCCTCCCTGGTTTATGTGTGCTCAGGAGTTTACTGCTTACTGCAAACAGCACTTTCCTGGACAAAGGGCAGAAGGGAGGGTGGTTTTTCAAAGCTTGCTTCGATTTTGTTATGGAATGTGAATCTGCTGTGCAAAGAAAAGCAAGACCAGAATTCCACTGGGTATGTCTAAACCTTTAGGTTTAGCATACCACTTTGATGTCTAGTCAAACTTTTGACCAGTCTTCTCTCAAGCTGGTGGACTCCAGAACTGTTGGACTACAATCCCCAGCATCCCTAGCCAGCACAACCCAATTCTAGCAGCTTTTGATGAATGAGAGGCTTGGAAGGGGTTTGTGTAGGCCAGCTTTCCTCCATATTGCTGCCCTCCAATGGGAGTTGACATTCAAAGCATCTGGAGGGCGTCATGTTGGGGAAGCCTAAACCATTTTAAGCCTTGGCTCAGTGCAGGAAGTCCAGAGCTGGACCATCCCCTTAGCCTTTGCATAAAGTTCTGCAGTAAGGAGGAGCCCCACACCCCTCCAGGGAACCGTGTTGTTGCCTTGTTCACATAGCCTTGCTGTCCCGAAGCTTTTCCTAATGTTCACCTGCAATCAGCTGTCTAGCAACGCATGTCCATTAGGTCTAGTCCAGCATGATATATAGATAGCATTTGATGTTTCCAGGGGTCACTGATTCTTTCAGCTAGCCTGAAACTTTTTCAGCTTTTGAATGTGTATGCAAATTATGAAGGGGATTCAGGGGATTTTACATCTGACCAAGATCTGGAGGAGGGGCTTTAGCAAATGGTATGCTGTGTCTGATTTAACTACTCTTTACAGAATATAAGAGTTTATGATGGGAGGGGGAGTTTGGGTTAATTTTTCAAATCCAAGCATTTTCTCTGGCCGAGGTCTCTGTCCATACCAAACTAAGTTGAGTTTTCAGGTCTATCTCCAAACCCTGAAGGGTGCGTCTCAGTTCAGCGATCTCATTCTTGTTGGTGTTGGTCTCCTTGGTACTCACACTGATTGTCATATTCAATTCTTTACTCTGCAGGAATTGGATAGCAGATTTTAATTGAATCATATGCACAAGATTCAGATATAGCTGAAATGTATGATCTCTACCCTGTTCATAAAAGTGAAGCTCCTAAGTTCATAATAGATGGACACCCCCATAATGGCAAGAGGAAGAGTATGGCCCTCTGCAGATATTCAAGGCTTGTCAGGGACTTGTGATCCCTTCTTATGGGCACCAGGTTCTTAGTGCCCAGCACCATCTGGAAGGGCCGTCAAAGCTCAGGAGTCTTTTTGATATTTTGCACGTGAGTATCCCTTACTGGTACATCTTTTATAAATATACGTATGTCCTGCTTGTTAGGGTGCATCTTTCAACAGCAAAGAATAAGAATGTATAAAGCAATGCAAACCTTAAAAAAATAAGCCAGTAGATTAAACAACTAAAACAACAGCAGCTAAAACACTGCCAGATAAAACTATCTATGAAGGGCTAATGGAGCAAAACACTTTGAACTTGACATTGATGAGGGCTGTCTCGGTATTTCTCTGTCAAACAGGAGCTGTAGGCTCTATTATAAAAAAAGCAACAGCAGCAGCAACGGAAGAATAATGGATTCTAACAGTGATACTAGAGAGATGGGAATGCATTGGCAGAAGACGGGGTCATAAAATTGCATTTCACAAAGAGGAAAATGAGATTGCTGGACTAATGAAAGTCAGTAGATATCATTTTAAAAACTCAAGGCTGGTGTTGGACATGGTACTTTGCTTGCAAAGTTCTAGACACACCACTGCATTTTTACCTTTTCATTGAACCAATTTGCAGCGTCTTGGCGATTTTGCTCTGTCAGAGCCTCATATTCTGCTCTCATCTTGTTCAAAAGCATGGTCAGGTCAATTCCCGGGGCAGCATTAATTTCAACATTAACACCCCCAGAAGTTGTGCCTTGCAAACTTTTTATTTCCTGTGTAGGGGAAAGGGAGGCAGAGAACAAAATAAGTAAGAAAAAGGCACACTGGCAGTTTTACAAGGATTGCTGGAATCAGTTTTTATATTTTCTGCATGTTGTCAGATTGACTTGATTTACATAACATGTTTGCATTATTAAATATACAACTGTATATGCTTGCATTATTGCAAATACAACTACACTATAGTTCGTACTGTAAAAGAAGCCACAGGTAAATAACTTGGATGGGTGTTTCTCCATCTCAAAGAAGGATATTCACAGTGGTTAGTCCTCATTTCAAAGGATTTCTCTGTTTTAAGGTTTTTGAATTAAAAGACCCATAGCACTTATTACATTAATATATCTCCATATGTTAGTATATAACAGAATATACTACCACTGTTAAAAACAGCTATGTGTAAACCACAGGAAAAGCACTCCAAATTTTAATATATCTATTTATCCATTTGTAAATTATACCTAAAGCCACTTGTTCAAAAATTGAAAGTTTCATTAAATTTTCTGTTAACTCTATTGTGTTATTGCAGGCAGCTATGTATCTTCTGATGTTGTAGTATCAGTCTTTTAGCTGTGAAGGTACAGGAAATCCCTTTACACTGACCTTGTCTTAAATTCTAAAAGATGGGTAGGTAATTCAAAGGAACATGTGTATCCTTGCATACTAGAGAACTTTCCATCACCAGATTTATCTGATTATTACTTCCTTCCAAAAGGGAGCTGCCGTTGGGCATTGCCAAAGCATACGAAGAAGAGAAACATCAGCAGCCTTGCTCCTCCAGCAACTGGCGGATTTAATTAAGCCCTAATCAAAAAGATCTTGGGACATCCAATATACTTGAAATTGCAATTTTTGCTGATTTTTAAAGGTTTTATGTTTAAGAATAGGAGACATATAGCCAGGGATTTTCTACATGAGACATTTAAGCTGGCACATTACTGAAGCTTCTTCCATGTCTTTGCAGGAGTAAGTAAAGGCATGGCTTTTATACCAGAGTCCCCCTTTTTTTTCCTTCTCTGCTTTTCTATATGTTCTATTGATCCAAAGGGTCATAATTCCCGACATTTGCAGTCCTGTGATTTTCCGTCTCCACGAGAGTATGTGAAATCAATCTCTTCGAGGGATAAGTCAGGACCTGTTAACTAGATGAATCACTTTGCTTTAAGCCTGTATGGCTGAGGCATTATGCAAACAGGTTCATTTCACTTGCTGATGTTAATGGATGATTGTATTTTGTTCACAGTTCTCTTAATCTGGCTGAATGTACTGCCTTTGTGCATCTTAAGGACTGTGGAAATCCTGTATTCCCCCCTCTCCTCACTTCTCTTCATCTTAATCATTAGGAATATAATATTTCATAGGCTTTCTACAATGTTAAATACCACTGGTATTGGATCATGACATTTTCTTTTGAAGTAATAGGAATTCAGTGTAATGGATGCATGAATGCAGATCCATTTCTGGATAGGAGCAGGGGCTTTTTGTTCCATTCTAACTATTAAGCTTTTCATGGGAATGGTTTCTTTTGATTTGATTTCACTGCCTGTGCGCCTTCAAGATAATAACATTTCCCCTCTGGAGGCAACAGTCTATGTTCTGTATCTCTGGGCCTTGTTAAACAAGATACTTCTCCGATTCCTTGCCATTGTGCGACAGAGTGCACACAAAGGGCAACAGATGCCCATGGACAGACCGTGGCAACATGGCACCCTCCAGATGTGCTGGACTACAACTCCCATCATCCTCCACCTTTATGACCATCCATGATGGGAGTTGTAGTCCAGCACATCTGGAGATCAGCCATGAGCAACAGCATTACTTTCCTTTTGAAAGCAAGGAAACAAAAAGAAGAATTTTTTTCCATGATGCCATGGAAAGTGTGGGTGCTTCCTGAAAGAGCTCATCTTTAGAAGTCCTTTGCCTTCCCCGCCCACCCCCCAAGGGCACAGTTCCATCACCTTGACTCTTGATGCGTGCACACCCCTGGCCCTGGCACACCTTCTGCCTAGATTTTTATCTAGCCAACTGATTTTGGCCATCTAGATAAAATGCTGGGCAGGGGGATCCCCAGGACATGCCCTATTTCTCTCCTCCAAGTTGCATTTGTGGCCTTGGAAGCCAGCCCAGGTCCTTCTGCAGGATCTTAGAGCTCAGGTGCTGAATCATCCTGTGGCCCTGCAGACAAATGCCAGGAGGCCACAGGATTGCACCCTTAGTGGATTCTCTGTGGCAAATTAGAAAGAAAAAAATAGAGAAGAAGTGGGTAAATGTGGGAGAATTACAAGTGGAAGATGACATCTGGACCTTAAGTAAAAAACTGTAGAATGAGGTGAAATGATGGTGATATAAAGCACTCTTGGATGAAACTGATTATCTGGACCCATTTCAGTCCGGCTTCAGACCCGGGTACGGTACTGAATCTGCCTTGGTCGCCCTGTACGATGACCTGTGCAGGGAGAAGGACAGGGGGAGTGCATCCCTGTTGGTTCTCCTGGACCTCTCAGCGGCTTTCGATACCATCGACCATGGTATCCTTCTGGATAGGCTAGCGGGATTGGTGGTTGGAGGCATGGCTTTGCAGTGGTTCCGTTCCTATCTCAACGGCCGATTCCAGAAGGTAGTGCTGGGGGACTATGGCTCTGCGCCATGGCAGCTATGCCATGGAGTACCACAGGGGTCCATTTTGTCCCCTTTGCTGTTTAACATCTATATTAAATCGCTGGGAGAGGTTATCAGGAGGTGTGGGCTAAGGAATCATCAGTAAGCTGATGATACCCAGCTCTACCTCTCATTTTCCACTAATCCAGGTGAGGCAGTGGCTGTGCTGAACCGGTGCTTGGCCGAGGTAATGGGCTGGATGAGAGCCAATAAACTGAAGCTCAATCCAGACAAGACGGAGGTCCTGTTGGTTGGCGGATCGGGCTTCGGAGAGGGTGGATTTGACCTCGCCCTGAATGGGGTTGCACTCCCACTTAGGGACAAGGTCCGCAGCTTAGGAGTACTCCTCGACCCAGAGCTTTCATTGGAAGCTCAGGTGACAATGATGGCGAGGAGCGCTTTCCTTCAGCTTCGGCTGATTAATTAGCTGCGCTCCTACCTGGAGTACGACTGCCTGGTGACGGTGACACACGCGCTGGTGACTTCCCGCCTTGACTTCTGTAACACGCTCTACGTGGGGCTGCCCTTTAAGACGGTCCGGATACTTCAATTGGTTCAGAATAGAGCTGCCAGGCTGCTGACAGGGACTGGGCGTTATGTTCACATGACTCCAGTCTTCCGACAGCTTCACTGGCTTCCCATTGAAGTCCGGGCCCAATTCAAGGTGTTGGTTATGACCTATAAAGCCCTAAATGGCTGGGGACCTGGTTACCTTACATCCATATATGCCCGACCGCCCCTTGAGATCTGCGGGAGAGGCCCTTCTCCGGGAACCCTCCGTGAAAGAAATTAGGAGGGTAGGTACTCGGAGGAAGGCTTTCTCTGCGGTGGCGCCCAATCTATGGAATATGCTCCCCAGAGAGGTCCGCCTGGCGCCATCGTTATTTGTTTTTCGGCGCCAGGTGAAGACCTTTTTATTTAAACGTCATTTTAATTGTTAACAATATTTACTTATTTATCTAGCCAGGGCGACTTCTTTTCTTTTCTTTTATAACTTTTCTAACTCCTTTTATATCATTTATATTTTTATTTATTTTATATTATTAATTTTAATTTTATATTGCTATTTTTGTATTGTATTTTATTGTGTTGTAAGCCGCCCCGAGGCTTCGGCAAGGGGCGGCATAGAAAAGTTCTAATAATAATAATAATACCCTATATGACATAATTAGTGAAAGGGTTGTAATACTTCCCCTTGGTGCTGTTGCATGCAGTGGAAGGTATACTCCTGTTGTTGGAAGCCTACGAGCATCAAATGCAGGGTGCCGTATCACTGCTGTGTCTTGTGCTCTGCATTTTACTTAGATGGCTTTCAGCTGCTTAGATTTAGGGCCAAGGAGGAGGAGGAAAGGCAGGTGGGGTGCCAGTCGCAATCAATGGAACTCGGCGGCCCCAGCCTTCTCCCTGCCCCACCCTCAGCCCAGTCCTCCCACCCCAGGCCCAGTAGCAAGGAGGAGTGCGGGGTCCTGATCTTCAGAATCTGACTGCTGAGTCAGAGGATCTTTCTGCATGGACGCAGAAAAAATCCTTTGGTCCCCCCGTTGATGCCAGGAGACCATAGGATTGTGCTCTAATTGTCCCAGATACGGTGTGTCCTCCTTTAACTCTTGATCTATGCTAGTATTTTGACTTGTTTGCCAACTGTAGCAAATACCAACCACTCCGTGCTGGCAGCAGAATCTTTCTTTGGCACAGTGACTCGGTCCGCGGCCTCTGCCACATCTGACGGCTACTGAGTGGGGAGGCCATGTGGCCCACAGAGCTCTGCTCACAGCACTGTGCGGGTGCAGCTAGCAGTATCCACCTCACCTGGGTTCCTGCCTGCTGCCTGCTCAGGCAGATGCCACAGTTCAGCAGCACTGCTGTGTGTCCTGCCAGCAGCCTGAAGCAGGTAAGCCTGTGAAGCGTGCTGGAGTGTGTGGCCAGGGCTGGCCACCTCTTTGCCTCTTTACTCAGTCAGCCAACCTTAGCCAGCAACAAGAAAGCACTGACGGGTGGCTCAGGAGGATGGAGAAGGTCACGGGTTCAAGGATAAAGGCTGCCTCCTTCCCTGCTTGAGGTTGCTGCTTCGCTCTGCCTAACGGTAAGACTTTTTCTAGTGACTGCTAGCCTTGTTGAGGAAGTTTGTCCTTGGTGAAACTCCTGAATGAAGGAATAGAATGTTTCTTAAATTCGAAGTTTCAACGTACCAGAAAGAGTTAATCTGTGATAATTTAACAGGGTAGTGTAACTGGTGTCCACAAAATGGCTGACCTCTTACCTCTTCGTGGTTCTTCTTGAGGAAAGCCCGTTCTTCCGTCAGGCTTTCGATCTGCATTTCTAGGTCGCTCTTGGATAGAGTCAGTTCATCCAGAACTTGACGAAGACCATTTATGTCTGCCTCCACATTCTGGCGAAGGAACAGCTCATTTTCATATCTTAAAAAAAAAGTACATTTTGTGAACAGTGCTTAAAGCTTCAATCCTATGCATGTTTAGACAGGAAAACTTCTTATCTCTCCCAACATTTCCCAGCCAGCAAGGTTACCCGAAGGACCTTTGATTGTCCTTGCTTGAGAAGTCTAGGCGTGCTTCCAGATGAAGCTTTTCTCACACAATGGCCTTTCTTCAAATTTTACAGGGTGTTGTATGTTGGTGCGTCATCTTCTTTTGCAATGCTCCCATATTTTCCCAGTGTTTTCTCTCTTGTTCTTACCAGTTACCACCCAACAATAGGTGTACAAAATGCCTTGATTGCTAGCACCCTCACCTAGTCCTTGTTCTGGCTTTCGTCCGTGATCCTGTTGTGATACAACAGTGGTGTCCCACCGCAAATTGTGGGTTAATAACCCACACGTAGAGCTACCTCCAGTTCCCTGGAACAGCATATCAATGCAACTTTCACAGGCTGTTTCTGTGGCATCCAAATTTGAGCACCAGAGATTATTTGTAGATTGAACAACCTCTAGTTCATCCATGTTTGTTTCTTGTCTTAGCTTGGGGTTATGTAACTCACACCCCACAGACAGGATGGAACTACTCTTGAGTAGTTCTGGGCAAGCGGAAGCTGCTTGCACAGTGGGCAGGCATCCCCTCAGTTTGTGGGTTAATTAACCACTGAACTGCCAGTGGATACCTCTATTACATGTGAACACAGTCAGTATCCCCGGATCAAGTTAAGTGTACTCCGCTTAGATTAAAAGAACTTACTTCATTTTGAAGTCGTCAGCAGCTAGCCTGGCATTGTCTATCTGCAGTGTAACTGTGGCATTATTAACATTTGCAGCAATAATCTACATTGGGGTGGGGGGAATAGAGGAAGGAGGGAACATTGAAATATGAAATGCTTAGCAAATTCACTAGGACTTCATTAGGACACATTTTATGAATGGAATGAAATTGGCTCAGAGAAAAAGCAACATTTGTTTATATACTGATGTGTACTAGTAATTGTTACCAAAGATTGTTCTATGGTTTGTTTTCTTAATGTAACAAGAAAGCAAATCAGGCTCATAAGGCTCAAATTGCACATTACTTTAATCATGAAAGTGCTGCTGGAAATGGTCCAGTTCAAATCTTTTCCAATCCTGGGATCCATTAACTAGATATGCCAAATGTTAACTAGATATTCGTAGGAATATGAATAATGTACTGGCTCAGTGCTGTGCTGGACAGCTTGATAAAAATGTCAACCTGGTGTGTGCAGTGATTGTGAAAAATGCAACTCCATATTAGGCATAATTAGGAAAGGAACTAATAGTAAAGTTGCCAATACCATCCTGCCCTCATACAGATCTATAGTACAATCTCTTAAAATACCAGAATGTAAATTGGGAGCTGGAAAATTACTGAAAAAGGCAAGCAAAATGATCAGGGGGTGGAGCAGTTCCCCTGTGAGAAAGGAGAAGATTCCTGTTTACTCTTTTTTGGTAGTCCCCAGTTGCAACAAGATCCCTTCTTTCTCCTTTCCCCCCTTGAGTCTCCATGGGGGAGCACATTGTTGCCTTTTCAGAGCCTCCAAGGGCTTGGGAAAGAGCAAACGTGCACCCCTACCTTTACCCCATGAATCCTCTTTAAAAAGCAGGGGGAGGTCCGCTTTTAGCATTTCCGAAGCCCCTTGAGGCTTGGGACACAGTCTGCAATTTGCTTCCCACAGAGCACAGGAGGAAGCCCAAGGAGTTGGCAGACTGCGGGAAATCTACAGTGGGTGATTAGTGCAAAGGCACTTTTCCTCTTCCTCTTCTTTGATAGGTCTATACCACTTAACATAATAAAATCCCCAAGCAGTTCACATATATATAACAAATTACATTGAAAGTATGATATTAAAAACAATTCCAATAGTAGTACAGAGCAATGCAAGAAGTACTAAGATGGAACAGTGTGATTAACGTCATTGCAAGCCAGAAAAAGCCCAGGTGAACAGGTGCATTTTCAGGAGGCATTTGAAATGCACCCTGTTTCTTCTCTCCTGACTTTCATGGAGAGGGGATTTTCCAAGGATGAGTGCTGGGAATGAGGAGGAGATTCTTCTAATTAAAGATCACAGAGGGGAAAGGACAGGGCAATGCTATGAAGTCTGCCCGAACCGATCAGGCCAAAGCTTGTCTCTGTTTAATGAGGGACAAGGCACTCTGTGGGCTAACAACCCCCAAGTTGTGACAGGTTATGGGATGGGATGGGGCAGGGACAAACTACATTAGCTGCTTAATTCATGAATAATTTTCTGCTCAAAACACTGCAGATCTGGGTGCCCTTTGGAACAAGCCACATGAGGGAGAGAGGCATCCTTAGAGCTCATTCATAGGACCACTTTTAATACAGTGTGACCAACTTTTCTTCTAAAATAATTTTGGTGGCATGTGGAATCAGATGTCTGGGGAGCTCCAGTTCACATGCAGTTTCCAGTGCCTCACCCCCAGGCAATCTTTCATCTATACAGGCTTGGAATGTGATGAATCCCAAGTTGGGACTGATCGGAACACCCAGATTCCTTTCCTGCTTAGCGGGACTTATGAAAAGGTCCAGCTGAATTTCACAGTCTTTAGAAATTATCTCATATATTTTGCATTACTGGATACAATCACTGCCTTTTTAATGACTTTTCATGTTATATCCAGTATCATTCTGTAGTATAAAGACTGTTAATAACTTGACGTTACAATTACATCCTCGTTTTTTCAAAACCTTTTTCAAGATCATTGGCTTACCTTATTTCGCAGGTCATCCATGGAGGCGTAATATTTGCTGTAGTCATGGAGTCCCCCGTCAGTGCGGGGTGCATGTTTCTCATGCCAGTTTCTGATTTTTAATTCAAGATCGCCATTTGCCTCCTCCAAAGCACGCACTTTAGCCAGGTAGGAAGCCAAACGGTCATTTAGGTTCTGCATGGTTTCTTTTTCCCCACCAGAGAGAAGTCCACCATCACCGCCGGCAGGGCCAGAACCAAAGTTATGGAAGCAACCCCCAGTCCCACCTCCAAAGCTACCCCATCCTGATCCAGCACCCCAGGTGGCCCCACTACCAAAGCTCCCTGCAGTGGACCCTCCACCCAGACCATGCACACCACAGCTAGAAAGTTTCATGGATGCCCCCCCACTGCAGGAAGAGGGAACCTGCCTAAATCCACGGCTGAAGTAAGACATGATCTCAAGGAAGTTTCAAGGGAGGATGCAAAAGCAAAACTGTCACCCAAAGAGAGCTGGAACCACAACAGCTATCTCAAGCTTTTATAAGCCGATTTTCTAAGGGCGTGTGCTTTCTTCGGAACATCTTTTCATAGCTGCACTGTTTGTTTGGAGAATTTATCATTTCAAACATGCATGATTGATGGATGCTAATAACCAACCCCAGGACTCCGTCTTGTTCATTTCCCCTTGGGCCATTTGTGACTTTCCCCCCCAAGATGGAGAATGGGTGGATTTCACCAGGCCAACACTTTCATTATCTTTTCGGCAAGGTTGAGTGATTCCTCCCAAGTCTGTCCCATCATCATTTGTTTTTTTAGCACAACACTAGAAACATAATTCCTTGCATTCCTGTTCCTTTGCACTTGCACTTGCAACACAGATTCTTTTGTGACAGAAGGGTGTGAAAAACTGCTTTTAAGTATAGTTCCCATTTATTGTTATTTCCTCAGCCTGGGTGGTGCAAAGATCTGTGTGGCTTGCATCTCTGCAAAAGCGCCATGTAGGCTGTCCGTCTTATGTGGGGGCATTATTTTCTTAGTATTCCTCTAAGCACTTTGCTATAATGCCAAACTTGAATCAGCAAGAGGTTAATTTTATTTCCTGAAGCTTTTGCGGCTGCTGCTGCTTCCTCATTGTCAGGATTTCAACAAACATAAGGTATTTCAACAGCTGGCTTAATGACAGTGGGAACACTTGAGAAATTTAAACAGTGCTTCAGGAATGAAGGAGTATCAAGCAAGTGCGGATATCACTTCCATTGAATCATGTCATCTTGAAGACTTCGGTGATCTCATGAAAAATAAAGGAGACAATTTAGGGTTAACTGGCTGACAACAGTCAGCCAGAAAGTTTGGGTAGATATAGGGTGTTAGGATACAAATAATTCAGATTTGCTTATTTTGTTGTTGTTATTCATTGCATTCCCATACCAGTCGTAGCTGAAGCTCTCTAGGAGGTTTACAAAATTAAGTCTCCCATCCAGATTTCAACCAGGCCTGATTCTGCTTAGCAACCAAGATGAGGCGGGATCAGGCACTACAGACAATATGAGAGCTGAGAGAAGTCAGTTTCCCTATACCCTGTGAAAAGTTCATCGGAATATTAAAATGAGGTATATGTTGGGCAGGAGGGGGCTGTGGTACTCCTGCCCTGCTTGTGGGATCCTCTGGACAGTCGCTTGGCTGCTGTGGAACAGAATGCTGTTCACAGATGGATGCTTGGTCTGATCCAGCATGGCTCTTCTTATGCTCTTGCCTTCTTTCTTCATTCCATCCCTGGTCCCATGGCAGAAACAGAAATATTGGGTTCTTTTGGACTGTCCGGAATTCGACCTTGTGACTGACACATATGTTCAGCTTAAGCCACTTATGAGGCATTTCATAAAAACAGATTCAGGACTTTTTCTATGCCTGCCATACTTCTAATGAAGAGCAAAAGCCAGCCATGATCTGCCTGAGCAACCAGTGGGAGTCTGGCCACTGTGCCAAGACCCTTCATACTTTTCCCATACAGAAGTCTGGAACTTCTATATCTTCTGTCCAAGGAAGGTGCATTTGCTGTGACAAGAATGTTGAACTTCACTGAGTTTTTGGATGTGAGTAACACTGATCATCTTTAAATGTGGGGCTATTTGCAGTTTGAGACATGATGCCATTCTTGATTTTTATGGAGTGAAAGGCCATCCTCACCAGCACCCTCTTAGTTAATGAGAAATCAACTGGTAATGAAACTAGAATGGCTTCTGATAGGTTGAATGTGAGCTTGTGATACATGAGAATACTCTGAGGACCACATTTATCTTCTTTAGCCTGATGCCTTCCAGATGCCGCCACATTCCAGTTCCTATCAGTCACAACCAGTCAATGACCATGAATGATGGAAGCTAAAGTTCAACACATCTGGAGGGTACCAGGGTTGGGTGGTTTTACAATAGGTGGGTGACAAAGTTTTGGTTTCACGTGCACTGAGTTAAGGACGCCATTTTATTGCAAATATGTAGATTCCACTTTTGTGTATTCTCATGTACTGAGTATTTTGATGTATAGAGCCCACATATTACCCAGTTGGGTTCAGGGACTTTTCCTAACATATATAAGGTCCTAAATAACTGGGGAATAAGCTACCAACCCACCCATTTACTGAGATCCACGGAACAAGACCTCCGTGGTTGTCTCGCCTCCTGTGCTGGTGCATCTGATGGCAACCAGAGGGAGGACCTTTTGTGTTGTGGCTACTCGCCTCTGAAACCCCCTTGCTTTTGCAGTGTGACAGGCACTGGCCTCAAGGACTTTTGGGCATATATTGTGCTCACTCCCCATGTTATACATATCTTTGCATTAATTTATTGATGTGCAATTGCATGGCAACATTCAGGAATGTGGTTTGGTTTGCATGTGTGATTGGGAAGTGTTAATTTGTTATATTCACATTAAAATGTAAACCAAATGAACAGAACATCCACCCCAGGTTGTGATCTGAAGATGGATGAAGCAGCCACCTTGCTGAAGCTAAGCAGTTTTAGGTCTGATCAGTGGTTGGAGGGGAGATGACCTGGGGACCTCATGTAGCCACCTTGAGTTTCATGGTGGAAGAAACATGGGATAGAAATAAAAATTAAATAATATCAATTAAAGATTAAAAAATAAGAATTAAATAACCCCAATGACTAGCAATCATAGGTGAACTAAATAGGCAGTAGATGGACAACCATTTCAGATTAAATGTCATGACCAAAACTATCATTTCATTTGCAACAGAAGGAAAATGTTTATTGTGGAACAGCAGAAAATGAAGCCAGCACTTTTGCTCTTCGGTAGTATGGAAGCAAATTGCCCATAAATGCAGCATAGAAAGGAAGGAGCACAGGAAGAAAGAGAATTCTAATTGTAGCATTGTATAGCCTTTTTCATCTGTTTGCCATCGCATGCTTAAAAGACTTCCAGCTGGGATTGGAAGTTGCTTATTTAATTGGCTTTTCTTCCACAGACTGGACATGAGTTGAGATAACTTGGTCCCCAATTCTATCTTCCACTATTGTCTTGATCACTCTTCTTTTTTGTGGATCTGTGTCAGAGGGAAAATTCAGACATTTAGGAGAACTGCAATTCTTTTTAAGCATGCAGAGCCAGAGCATGGAACTCTTATTTAAGCATATGATAAACCTTATAGAAAAACGTGTGCTCTTTCGGAACATAGGAAGGTGCCTGTGACTGAGACAGACCAATGGACCATTTATCTCAGTATGTTCTAGGGTGAAGATTCCACACCAGAGGAGGACAGTCTCTGGCCCACAGGCCTAACCTGGGCAGCGGATAAGTCCAATCTGCCCCATGGAGGGCTGAGCACATTCCAAGCCTCTGAAAGACGAATCCCCAGTGCCATCTCTGATCAGAGGGATTCCTCCAGGCACATCTTATCTTCCTTAGGAGGGCAAATAGCACAGAGCCACTTTCCATGTAGGCTGAGGATGGGGATTTGTGTCTCTCCTTGCATGGGAAAAAGAGAGGACTCCACAGTGCCAGTGATGTCACAAGAAGGGGAGGGGAGGGGTTCTGGCCTGGGTCTCTCTTGGGCATGGTCACTGGGGGTGCGCTGTGGCCCCTGGACCCTAAAGGTTGCCTGGCCTCACTCTGCAATGACGGGCAAAGGGTTTCCAGCATTTCAAGAAGGAATCTTTCCCAGTCCTCCTTGGGGATACCAGGGACTGGCTACCTTTTGCATGCTTAGTATATGCTGCAATGCTGAGCTATGGCCCCACTCCAAATCCTTCTCAAAGATCACATAAAGGATTACTACATTTAAATGCTGGAAGTTAAGACCAGTAATAGAGATCTGACAGTGTTTTCTGGACTTTTCTTAAACTTCAGCTGTTTTGACTACAGAAAGTTCAAAGCTTTTGCAAAACGACAGGAGAGGACCTGACATTTGACTCAGCCAAGTCTTTAAAGTAATTTGCAAGCAATTTCTTACAGTTCTTTTAATTAGCTGACTCTGTCTAATTCTGCTGGCTGGAAAGTGAAAGAATGCCTCTATACATACTATTAAAGAATGGCTGCTTAAAATTTGACCAAGTCAAATGGACCTTCTTGACTCTCCTCTGAAATCATATTCACAAGGTATCCTACAATCACAATTATAGTCTGGAAAGACTAGCTTTGTCTGTGTTCATGTAATGATTAGAAGCTAGAACGTGCAAGCATCTATAAGGTGTAAACTTTATGGCCCCTCACGTATTTTTTCTTTTGTTCTGAAAGGAATCCCATGTGCATTACAACTGGGCCTCCCTTTCCTACGCAGCGCTGCTGAGGCCGCACGCAGACGGTCCTTCAGTGTGGTAGTGGGAATGCACTTGCTGATCCCAACCTCCGTGGTTTCTGCCTCATTGGTGCAATGGCACTGTGCGCCCTTGCTCCCTGCAAATGGCACTAGGAAAGCACCGAGGGCCGGGGCAACGGAGGAGCTGCAGTTTCAGTGGTCGTATTGAATTCTCTACTGGACAAGCATTTGCAGAAAGCTTTGGGATATGCTCATGTTATTATTCCTATATTTATCCCTCTAAAATGATTTTTTTTGTAAATCAGCATTTTCCATGCCACATTTTCAATGCCTTTTAAATACAACATACCTTTGGAGTGGTTACTGAACACCTTATTCACACTATCTTGTCCTTTACATCATGAGCAAGATCAATTTGTTTTTAGAAGCACGGAAAAATAAGAACAACATTTAGTACCTCTGCTAGCACCTCCATGCCTTGATCCTGCATCACCGGAACCTTCTAAACTAAGTCTTGCATCTCCAGATCCAGCACCTCTATATTTTTGCTCTCCAGATCCAGAACTTTTGCTTTGAGAGGTGGATTGTTCTTGGCTCCAAGATCTTGTGTCTACAGAGGCTGTTCTCCTTGATGTTTGTTCTGTAGATCTTGACCCTTGAGGTCTGCTTTGTGAAATGGTTTCCACATTTCTCATTCCTGAACCTCTGGATCCAGGAAAACTTCCACCTGCAGAACTGCTGGAAAATAGTAAAGAAAAAACATATTTATCTAATGCATGTTATTCTCAGGACACAGAGAAAAGAGAAAAGTTTTATAGTTTCACAGTACCTACTTAAGTAAATTATTGATTTATTGTGGTTATAATATGGGATTCAGATTAAAAATGTGCTAAGAAAATACTATAGCAAGCTGCTTGCTTAACCAACTGACTTATAACACAGTTTGGATGATATTAAAAGTGTCATTTAATCTGTCCCATAAATAGATTTAGGATGGCCAGAATTCAGTATGCGAACCTCATTTGTTGTGCCTTCATGGCTCTAACGAGATATCTATGTTGTCTAAGCTTGGGCAGACTTAACCAAAATGACAGCTGCTGCTGTTCTGTCCTGCATTTTGGTTCTGTCCTAAGCTATGAATTGCGAGTCATTTTGAAAACCATGCTGTGTGAAACAAGTAGTTATTGCTAATCAGTAGAGAGCCAGTCATGATACATGTGCTGGACTCAGGAGATCTGGGCTCTGGTTTCCACTTGGCTGTGAAGCTCACTGGTGATGCTGAGCCGGTCATTTACTCTCAGCCTAACCTATCCCACAGGGTTGTTGCAAGGGTAAAATGGAGATAGGTGAGGAACCCTTGGATTCTTCACAAGAGGAAAGGCTGGCTATAAACACAGTGTGCAGGTAAGCTTGTGGGAAAGCAAGCATCATCTTGGTTCCAGCAAGCACTATACAATGTTTCCAGTCACATGTCCATCATGAGTTGAATAGCTCATAGATGAGCTATCAAGTATGTATGAATGATACTTATTTAGATCAAGAGTGGAAATCCTGCAGTCTTTCAGATTTCATTGGCTGGTGCTCATGGAAGAAAGCAGCTTTGGTTCATTAATATCTGGATGGACACAGGTCTGTAAACCTGGCCTCAGATAAAGGGTCATCTTGCATAAAGGAAGGTCACAGTTATGTAGGAATAGGAGGCTTCTTCCACATTCTACCTATTTACCTGTCTCCCCCTTCCAGGAGTTGGTGGTAAGTCTCAATCTCATTCTCCAGACGGATCTTGACATCCAGAAGCTGTTCATATTCTCTATTCTGGCACTCCATGTCCGCCCTGATCTGCTGCACTTGGCCTTCCACGTTGCTGACCACTCCTTGAATCTGGGAAAGCTGGGCATTGTACTGGCTTTCCGTTTGAGCTAGGGTGGCCTCAAGAGATTGTTTCTGAGGAAAGATGGAAGTGGAATATGGAAAACAAGCCCAAGAGCAAACGGGTGGGTGTTCTCTGTTGAGGGTTGCAGCTCTCCTGGGGTAATCCGGCACAAACGCTAAGGGGGATGTGTAGGCTGGCAGTGGGCAAGGAGTGAATGGGGGTACCCCTTTTCTCTTCCTTTTTCTTCCTCCTCTTTCTCACTTTCTTTCTGAAACCCCTCCCTCTCCCCCTCCCCCTCCCTCTCCCCCTTCCTTTTCCCCTTCCTTCCTTCCTTCCTTCCTTCCTTCCTTCCTTCCTTCCTTCCTTGTCCTGTGGACAGTGAGGAAAGGAGCAGAGGGCTTCTGGCATATCGTAGCTTACACCTTCACCAACATCTTATATTTATTTTTTCATCCTCCTCCTTCAACTATTTGCTGAATAATTGTACAGTATTCAGTCATTTTGCAAATCTGTGATTCTCAGCTGTGGTATTCTATATGTAGCATTTTATTGCCATATGGTAGAATTTAGGTGTTTTTTTTTTAACAATGTTGTCCAATAGTTGAAAGGAATCTTCAAATGTCTTAAATTCTGAGGTCAACTTTCTAATGGATAGACTATGACATTTTGCAAGATCTTTTGCCAGACATTTTGCCAGATTTCTCCAAATTTGACTTCATCTGCTAACTAACATTTGAATCCAGATTTAGTCATCCACTAAAATCAAAGGAACTTGAGTTAATCCTGACTAACTTAAGACCATTGTTTTCAATGGGTCTAATCTAAGTATACCTAATCCTGGATCCAACACTTAAACTCTTTTCCCATCATTTAGTGTCACAGCATCCATCATTTGAATCAAATAGCTTCAGTAGCTCTAGAAGGCTGCACTTTACTGCTTAGTCCAGAAATACTGGATACACTGGATCCCTTAAATCGTAGGGGTACTTTCTGTGTAACTACACATAGGACTGCCCACTAAATCACGCAAAGTGAGGGAAGAAATACATCATGAGCCAATGCTTCGGAGCTTCACTCAATTTGCGGGCTCAAATCTGGAGTGCAGGACTAGACAAGCAGTCTTTGTGAGCTGGATCATTTTGTCTTAAGCTTGAGAGAGGCTAAAAGCAAAGCAAATTAATCAGCAGGAAGCATCTTTTAACATTATGGTTTTTAAAAAAATCATATACCAGAGACAACTGGGATTGCAGTTCAGTTTCCAGGGTTTGCAGGCTGCGTCTCAGTTCTGTAATCTCATTCCTGTTGGTGCTGGTCTCTTCGACGTTCCTGCTGATCTGTTTATTTAGTTCTTGACTCTGAAATATTGCAATTACTTTAGTTTGTTTATTTAATTCCACCTTTCCACCAAGAATGACACTCAAAGCGGCTTACCATCCTTAATAATACTGGATCAAAACAATAGAAAACAAATACTTTGCTTAATGCAAACAAATGGAGTAATTTCTTTACAAGGCAATGTCTAATATAACAGAGAATTGTTAGAGTCCTTTCCTCAGGCCATAGACAATGGGAGTGGGTATCCGAGATTGCTTTCTTCCTACCCCTGCCCCGCAGGTGTTTTAGAGATCATAGTAGCAGCTGCTTCCTGGAGGTCACAGTGCCAATTTTGGAGGGGCTTAGGTAGAAGAAAAGGGGGTTGGTATGGTGGGCAGGGAGCAGAAGGAGAAGGGGAAGAGACCAGGATCTGCTGGATCCTAAAGCCTCTCCATCACTTGTCTTACCCTCAACCAGCTGGATCACCTCGACAAGCCAAAAATATCAAGCAGCAGAGGAAAAGGAGTGAGTTTTGCCTCTGCCTCCTCCCGCCCTGCCTGCCTTTCAGTGCAGGGTGAAGGATGGAGAGAGAACTCAAGAGCTTCATCTCTTGAGTGGCAATCCCCTAATCCAAGAACATTTTTACCTGTTTGTTGAACCAGGCCTCAATATCTTGTCGGTTCTCCTCAGCAAGGGCCTCATATTCAGCTCTCATCTTATTGAGAAGTGCAGTCAGGTCGACTCCAGGAGCAGCGTTCATTTGCACATCAATGCCGCCACCCGTGGTGTCAGTCTCGAAGTTCATCTCCTGCATCAATAAAGATGTTCTTTTGAACTGTCTGCAATAGCAATTTCTTTAATAAAACATGCATCTTTAACATCAGGACTTTCTCAGAATAATCGGATGTTTTCTACATCACTTTGGTTCCAAGGATTTTGGTTTTCTCTGGCCGAGGCACTGAGAAATGCAGAGCCCTCTTCTTACAATGTAGTGCAGTCTCTAAGTTGTTTAGCACACAACTTTGTGTTATCCCACGACTGGCACAAGCCAATGGCCCCTCTGTCGGATGCACACAAGCCTTGGAACCTAGAGATTTATGTGCATCCCCACTCTTGCTGTGCCTCATCCCATGCTTTTTACCTGGCCGTCCATTCTGGCCATCCAGGTGAGCACCAAGCCCAGGGAGGGACGGAGGCTGGGACACCAACAGCCTCCAGCCCACCTGCTCTTCTGGCATAATCCTTTCCGCTTTCATGCATTTGTACTCTCAGAGAGGCCATTTCTTGAAAAAGTTGTAGTCATTTCTATTTCATTGTCTATTTATAGTTGAAAGCATTTCTATGCTGCACGTTGGTCAAAGACTCTCTGAGCAAGGAGAGTTTTAGCATGCATGTTGTGCCATTTAGGATGCAACCCAGCAAGGCTGCCTAGAACCCTCTGACCTTGCAGGGCTGTGGGAATCCCAGGCAGGGGGGGAGGAGTGCCAAGGTGAAGACCTTCTGTGCTCCTCCTGCCCTGAAAAGCCTTCACCTGGCCAGGTCCTCACAGATGGGGAGGGAAGGAGGCTGCGCCCACTGTCCTTTGAGGTTGTCCTTACAGCTTCAGAGAGGCAGCCAGGGCAATTCTTTCTGTACTAGCTGCAAGGGTCAAGGAGGGCACTCTGAGCAAGGACTGTCTCCTGTAAAGCAGAATAAATGGCCACCCTCCTTGTGATCTGAATCTTGAGGCAATGCTGTGGCATTTCTGGAAGCCCACCCTGCCTCAGTGAACTGTAGGAGGTTCCTGGGAACATGTCCTGGCTGAGAAACAATGCATTTTTGATTGGCCAAGACTCCAGAAGGGACAGGATCCAATATACTAGGGATCAAAACTCTTCCCATTGTGTATTTTGCTCCATTAAGAGCATTAAGAACGTCAACACCTTGTTTGTGCACAGCTAGAGTTGAATTTTTTCTTGCCATTAGATGCTGTCAAGTTGAATGAAAGCCTTCCAAAATATCCTGTCCTTGACAACTTTGATCAGCTCTTGTGAATCCACAGCTGCGGCTTCCTTTATGGACTCAATCCCTCCTGTCACTGGCTTTCCTCTTTTTCTTCCGCCTTCAACTTTCCCTAACATGTTTGTCTTCCCCAGGGAGTCTTGCCTTCTCAAACCCAAAATATGACAACCCATTTCTACTGACACCAGTGAGAACATTGCCGTTGCCATCGATGGACTGCAAACTTTGCCTTGAGGGAACGCACCAAGTCCATGTTTTCTGGTTAACTAAGACCTGTGTTACCTCCTCGTGATTCTTCTTCATATACTCCAGCTCTTCAGTCAAACTTTCAATCTGCATTTGAAGATCACTGGTTGTCATGGTAATTTCATCCAGGACCTTCCGTAGGCCATTGGTGTCCACTTCAACACTCTGGCGAAGGGCCATTTCATTGTCATACCTGAACAAAAGTGATTAGAAAAATGGTCAGCAGTTGTGTGGAACACACTTGAAAACCGAGAGTAAAATTTCTTCTTTTTTGTGGGTGTTTCATAGGACACCTTCGCTGATTTCTGCTTGAATATCAGCTTGCACCCCTGGTTTTATTAGTATTTATAACATTTGTTCGAAAGCTGCCCACTAGGATCGTGCTCTCACATTTTATCTGAAGTTTCCTAAAAGCAAATGTCCAAAATTTTCCTGTCTGTGTTTTCTCTGAAGTAAATCTCATTGTGTTCAGTGGGGCTTACACTCAAGAAACTGGGTGTAGGATTATAGCCTTCCTATTAGCAATGCTTTTGTCACAGGTCATGAAACACGCACTAAATTAGTCAAGTGTTGAGCTATTTGATGTTGTGTACCAAGCGCAAACAGCTGACAGATGTGAATCAGTTGCGCACAGGCAAGCTGGAACTTCAGCTTTAGCATATGTACACACCAGAGGATATTCCCCTCTCAGGTTTTCGGGAAAGAACAAAATGCGGAGCATCTGCTTGTTTTGCCTCACTTACTTCAGTTTGAAGTCAGCAGCAGCTAACCGAGCATTGTCAACTTGCAGAAGGAGTGTTCCATTGTCTGTAGTTGTAGTAATTATCTGAAAATAATGACAACAGTAATAATAATACAATGACAACAACAACAACAATAATAGTGACTGTAATAGAATTGTGGATCTGGACATGGGCAAGGTTCATCTCCCAGCTCAGCTATGAAGCTAACTTTGGAGTCTTGGCAAGTCAAAGAAGGACACCTCAGAAACTGCCTCCTTGCCCTAGCCCAGTAGAAGCAATTAGAATGGTAACTGGGCAAAACACACTGGCTTTGTCCCCTCTCTTTATTTTTGTTGATTTTATTCATTATTACATTTGACTCCCAACATTTTCCTTTTGCAAGGAATCTAAAGGAGCAAACATGTTGCCCTTCCTCTATTTTACCTGTGAGGTTGGTAAGGCTGAAAGTCAGAGACTGCCCCACAGTCCACCAGTGAGCTTCCTGGCTGACTGGGGACTCAGACTCGGATCTCCTGAGTCCCAGTCTAACCACTGCACCCCACCAGCTCACAGCCCTAAGTGTATTAGAAGGGTTCCTTCTTGCGCAGGGAGCTGTCTCGAATCAGGTAGACTTCCTGTGCAATCTAGAACTGTGCAGAAATGCTGTCTTCCTTTTGGGGATCATGTGGAAGTTGATATGGGAAGTGAAGGATGGACACTTCTGGGTCAGGCTTGTCGCTCAGCTGAATTGATCCTCACAGGGTCATTATGAGAAAAATAGGAGTGAGAAACACATGGCAAAGCATTGCACATATCCAGTAGGACATGTTTGTGGATTCCGCAGGTCAGTCTTATGGATCATGATTTCTGGACCACACATAATAACAGTCAATATTGTGCTGCACCAGGTTCTAATCCAATGTGCACTTGCATGGGAGTAAATCCCAATGAATGCAGTTGGACTTACTTCTGGGTAAACCTGAATTGTACTGCACTGCATGAACTTCTCATGTTCTTCCTTCCTTCCATCCTTTCTCAATCCAAATGATGTTATGCTTATTGTTGAGTGTATCTCACTTCCCAGAGCAGTGAGTAGTACTTGCGTTCTGTTTTCTTTGGAAGGAAGGACCACTGGAGACAAAAAGTACAACCCTACACATGTCTACTTCAAAGCAAGCCCCACTGAGTTGGGTAGGGCTTGCTCCTAACCCTGCAGCTTGCTCCCTAACCCTAACCCTAACCCTAACCCTAACCCGAAACTTAAGTTGATTTACAAATGCACAGATTGAGTGTCAGGGTAAGCATGGTCATAAACACTCCAGAGCAAATTCTACTCCTCTCCATCAGACCTCTATAAATAAGCACTCCCCTTTCCCACAGAGGAGCTTTCCAGAGTTCAGAAAGAGCCAATCTCATCCTCTGTCCTGTTCCCAAAAGAAAGTCTTGGAAAATGGCTGTCCTTTCCCCCCGACCACATGCCACTTTCCTGCCAACGGGAGAACCTGATCATGGAAGAACATTGGCAGCCACTCTGGCCCTGTTAACCCTCTCCTTTGTCAACCTCATCAACTGACAACCATATAAACAAATGTGAATGCAATCTTAGCATACGATAAACAGAATAGATGAAACAGAGGGAGAAGCATAGCCACATAGACTTTCCTTTTCTCACCTGTTTACGAAGGTCATCGATGGTTGCATAATATTTACTGTAATCACGCTGGTCGCCACCTCTGGGCCCTGCTCTCGCCCTCTCAAGCCATTCTTCAATTTTCTTCTCCAGTTCACTGTTTGCCTCCTCTAGGGCTTGCACGTTGCCCATATACGTCGCCAAGCGATCGTTGAGGTTTTGCATGGTTTGTTTCTCGTCACCGGTAAGAATCCCACCTTCCCCACTCTCAAAGCTGCTGAAGCCTCCGAATGAACCTCCGCCACCAGCGCCCCATCCGGCCCCAGAGCCCCAGGAGGACCCGCCGGCATTGCACGCCATGCCGCTGGACTGCCATCTGCTCTCGGATGTCCCACTGAAGCTGCACATGCCGCCCCCAGAAGCCCACCTGCCTCCACCAGCACTAGCACCGGAGCTTCCCCCAAAGGCCCTGCCACCAGATCCACCGCCCAAGCTGCAGGCTCCACCACCAGCCATCCCCGACATTCCTCTGTTGCTGCGGGACGAACATGCTTGCCTGGATGACTGGCTATAGAAACTCATTTTGTCGTGGGGCAAAGCGCAGAGAACCTGCCCTCTGTGGGAATGCGGCTGAAGCTGAGGCTGTCCTCAGAAGGGAATCCCTCGCCCTTTTATATACGATGTTCAAGTTGCATCATGCTCCTAAGTGTACGAGGTTTTGTGCTAACTTACTAGCCTACCCCATCATTAAATAATTATAATAATTAATAGCTAATCCCAATTCGTGCATTTGAGCCCTTCCCTCTGGTTATTCACTATGCTGAGGTGAAAAGTAGGTGGAGGTGTGGGTCAAGCCCTTCATTATAGCTTTGTCTCTTCTGTGGAACAAAATTAAGTAATCACTTTCCTTTTATAGCTCTCCTGCTTCGTACATTATTTTATGTTATCTGTTGATATTCAGTGCCTTCGTATTTTTGTCTTTATTTTACCTAAATTATTTTTATTCACAATCACTTTTTACAGTGCTTACCAAAAGGTTACATCTCCCATAATTATAGTAAGTTTTGTGAATATTAGCACAGCTTGATAAGGAAATTTCTGTGCTAAAGGCTCACACTATGAACAAACTTTCATAAAATCCTTGGTAAAAGTGGCAACTGTGATTCTTCTGCCTTGCTCAGGACCTGTGGAGCTCCAGGAGAGTTCCTTCCCAACATTGTATGAAGTTGTGGTCAAGCCAGTCCCCTGAGGGAAAAAAAAATGTCCAAAGATGGGGTGGACAGGCCCATAGCAAACCTAAACATTTTTTAGGGGAGTTGCCAAAAAAGTCAGGAGACAGTACTTCTGGTTTGCAACTTTTTAAAGACAAAATTGCAAACTAATTTTTAATTACATGATTGAGACAAAATAGGGGGGCGTAATTCAGAGGTAGCAGGACCTAACATTCCTCAAGATACTGGCTTAGAGATGGTGGATATAGTTGGTTTAGTGCTCAAAGGTGAATTTGATGTGATGAGGTCCCATTAGAGCTCTTTTCAAGCAGACATAATTGAGTCTGGCCTAACCGTCCTGCCTCCTTTTTTCTCCCACTCTGAAATCACCTCACTTCTCTCCCCCTCTCCCTCTCCCTCTCATTTCAGGTGCTGGTTGCATCCTTTTGGGGAAGGGGAACTTGACTTTCCTCAGTCCCAGAGTCTGATTGATGGTCCCCTCAATGGTTAAATGGTCCCCTCTCAGAAATTTGTGGATTGTATTAGATTCTAAAAATTTCTAAATTTCCTGCAATGCTGAACTGGGATTTGGTCTGTGCCCTATTGCTACACTGCTGCTTGGTTTACAGTGGGTGTATTGGGGCATGATAGAAGAGGGGGAGAGAATGTCACATGAGTTGGTTGATTGAATCTATGGGGCAGCTTTCTATGTATAAACAGCATACAGTGAAGACAACTCATAACAACAACTTCAAGAGTTAGAGATTGTTACTTCTTCAAAACCAAAACAAAACCAAACAAGCAAAACAGCTGCATAATTAAAAAGGAAAATAGTCATATATGACAAAAATGAATGAGCAAACATCGAAATAACCAGATCACCACAGAAAAGTGTGTAGAAACGTTAAGACTTTGATTCATGCAAAAATGGACAAATATGGCAGAGCTAGTGTGTATGTGGCAGCCATAATGCCATAGTAATAGGAATGCAGACCTGGTTTTCTGCTGCCATCATTAACGGGGTTATTAAAGCAAATGAAACGCACACGCAGACACATCCCAGATAGCTGCCAGTCTGTTTCCAACCCTCCCTTCTGAGGAGGGACCTGCATGAGCCCCTTGGGGCATGCCAAGTGCTATTAAAGAGGCAGTTTTCCTCTCTTGGTCCAGTGTGATCACCATCTTCAGGATTGAGAGGCGCAGTGATACCCTCTTGGTACTATTGAACATGCCATCCCCTTGGAGGTTGTTGATCACAGACTTCTGACAGTTGTGCAGGGGAACTCGACGGCTGTCTAGTAACTCCTCTTGCACTTTGCAAGGATCGCCTAGAAGGCACTGATTGGCAATTGCTTGCCTGCTTCTTGAGGCTTGCACTGTATCATTCAAAACTATAATATGTCAGTTTAACATCGAAATATGACACGTTTTAGAAAACTTCAGGTGACTAACTTTTGCTTGTTTGTCGGAGCATCAGCCGATTTGATTTGCTGTGCAATCCTAGGCATGTCTACTCAGAAGTAAGGTGCTTTCAGAGGGATGGCTCCTAGAGCTAGCAATAGGAGGCATCATGCAGCAGCTCCATCCACCCCACCTTACTCAAAGGATTTTCTACATTATAGGAAAAGACAGAAGGGTTGAGCAAACATGGGAGCATCATGAGTGGAAGACGTCATCATCTGAACCCTCCTCCCCAAGCCCTGAGCTTATGTGAATGAGGCAGGGCCAAAACAGTGTAAAGGCCTTGTCTAGAAGGACCCCAAATCGCACTGGGTTCAGTGGGACTTACTCCCAAGTAAGTGTGTGAGGATTGCAGCCATAGTGATGTGAAAATCCAACCACCCTGGTAAAGCACAGGTGGGAACGCACCATTTTTTAAAATTTCATTTTCCCAGCAAGCAGGATTAGGAAAGGTTTCCCAAAATTATGTGGAGCCCAAACTATCTGAGTTGCCCACATTTCATAGCTATATAGGCAAACTCTCTGTCTGGTCTTAAGGTCAAAACATACATTGGGTGTAATTCAAGCTGATACTTGGCAAACAGTTTTAAAAGTGATCACTGTCATCCAGTGTCATGTTTGTGGGCTGGAAATGATTATTCTGTCAGTGCCTGGTGGCAGTTGAATATGTGACAATGCACTTAAATGTGTGCTGGCTAATTGTTTTTCCTGCTTTCAAAGGGCAGATGACGTCATTTTTGCCCCACTAATTAGCTAAGGCCTGACATAACCGCTGACTACCTTAATCTCCTTTTCAGTTAAAATGATGCTTTATATATATATACACATGGCAATGCATACACTTTGCCAAACCCTGAAACATAAATCATGCTTTGAGACCACAAAGGAAAGTTTTCTTTAACTTGTTAGTCATCTCCATCAACCACAGTCACCATATCTGGGATGTGAATGATATTTGCTGTAACTTTTCCCGGTTTCATTGACAGTTGAACGCCTTCATCTGACTAATATGGGTTCATAAGGACATGACACTCGCCATCCATATTAATGTTCCTTGGAGGCTTGCCATGCTGTGTCAGCATGTGCTCTTGACCCAGCGTTTTAGGCAAGGGTGCGCATTCTTTTTGCCCCCAGGAGTCTTATGTGACAGCAGCTCTGAGCTTGGGACCACAGTTGGGTTCAGACACCATAACCCACACTGGAGGGTTGAGTATGGGTTGCGCTATGGGTTGTGGTTGAGATGTAGACTGTCATGTTACCTGAACCCAGCTGAGCTATCTAACCATGGTGAATAACCCCATGGTTCACACCCCAACAATAAACCATGGCTTTCCTTCATAGGTTGTTTGTTAACAGCAGCATAGCTTAACAAGGCATTGCTTGTTAGAGCGGCTGGGTTCAAGAGCAACCTATAGCTCTACACTCAACCCATCCTCCATCACTGAATCTGGGCTGCCATGTTGTTTGAACCCAGGTCATGTGTACTGGTTCATACACACAGCCCAACAATCCTGATGCACCTTGCTCTTTTCTCACTGCTCGGAGTGGTAGAGAAAGAGGCAGCTGAATGAGATCAGATGACCACTTCTGAACAAACAAATAAATAAAATGCATCCCCAAAATAAATGAAAGGCAGAAAAAGATGGTGATTTGCATAGGTTGTTATATGTGCAGATGCAAGTTCAGAAATTATTATTATTGCTGTAATTACTGTATTCTCACATAATGTGGATTACATCTTTTATCATTCCCAGCCAGCATGGCGGTCTGGAAGGCGAGGACACCAGCTGCATTAGAGAAGCTGTATTAGGAGATGCCCTAGAAAGGCACAAGCATCTTGAACAAACAAGGATCACTGTAAAATCCTGTGAGTCGCACAGCAAAGAGGTACAAAAGGAGAACACGCCCAGGCGGTTTAGTACGATCTGTGTACATAGGTTGGGCAGCAGCCCGCCAAGTTGGTGCCATTCCCTTCCCCCACACGCCTCAAAGAAACTGATGATGTCTGAAAAGGGCTCTAGTATTTTGGGGAAGGGTTTAGGAGGGTGGTCAATGTTGCATCATTGGTGTTGGTGGCAGCTACAGTCTTGAATAACAGTGAGAAAACCACCCAGGCTTTTATGGTGCCTTAACAAATCTACGAGTATCATGGAGTAATAGAGATATCCATAATAAATGTGTTATTTCTTTAAGGTGCCACAATGCTTTCTGTCATTTTCATTCCAGCAGACTCACAGCACCATCCAATGAGGCCAGCTGTGACTGAATGCAGAGGCCGTGGGTATCCATTCGAGGATGGAAGGTGTGCAGAGGCGAATGTTGCCTCTGTGCATCTCTTGCCCCACAAAAGTGCCCTGGTTGCATAGCCAGAAGCGTGGCTTCTAGATCGAGAGAGGCATTACTGCCGCTCTATACGACTCTGCTGTGCCCTCAACTGGAGTATTGTGTTCAGCTCTGGGCTCCGCATTACAGGAAGGATATAGCCAGGTTGGAATCAGTGCAGCAAAGAGGCACAAGGATGGTGGCTGGATTGCAGGGAAAGCCGTATGAGGCGAGACTGAGGGAGCTGGGTCTTTTCAGCCTGGAGAAGAGGAGACTCTGAGGGGATCTGCTGGTGATATATAGGTACGTGAGGGGTGTCACACGGAGGTGGGGAGAGACCAGTTTTCCCCTGCGGAGGAGGGCAGGACACATTCCAATGGAGCAAAGCTCAGGGAACCAAGGGATGCCAGGAAGTACTTCCTGACAGTAAGGAAGTATGGAATGGGCTTCCGTAGGAGGTGGTTGAAGCTCCATCGGTGCGGGTGTTCAAGG